ACACACACACACACACACACACACACACACACACACACACACACACACACACACACACACACACTCTCTCTCTATGCCATATGAAATCTTTACGTAACATCATATTCCAGCGTTAAGAAAACCAAAACTTGAAATGAAGCAGTGGAATACAGTCATCAAATTTGTGGCATGTGCAAGCTGAATGTGTTTCATAACATTTTTGTGAATTTTTACTAAAATTTAACAGTTACATACTTCTTGTCTTTTGAAATAATCTAAAATCTGACATTGCCAGTATGAACAAGTATATAACCAGATGTCACAGAAATAAAAGATTATGCCCAGATAAGGATTTGTGATATGTTGGAGAAAAGGTTTAAGCCTTGAGCTTGAGGTTAGATAGGCTTTTCTGGTCACTTTGTTGTCCAAACCAGGTAGAATTTGATTTTTACGTACAATTAGCTTGAAAACAAAAACAACTACTCCCAACCCAAATTTCTGAGTCTCTTTGATTTGGTACAGAGTCAAACAACGACATAAACTGGTGCTACTTTTTTAGATGCTAACTCTATATTCTGAAAAGAAAGAAGAAACAAACAAAAAAGTCCCTGAGATATGTGATGACACAGGAGAAATCACTGATCGCAATGAAAGAAATCTTTCTTTTCTTTTTTTCTGTTGACTTTGCATAATGCTATTTCAATTAAAAATAACTTATTCTTTAGTATAAGAATGTAAAAAAATTTGAAAACTATCAAATAATGTTGTCATCCATTTCCACATGGAAGGTTACAAACCACCACAGGAACCCCCCAATTTGGCTCAGCAGTTTGGTGTATATGAAGTGACTAAATTGCCCGGGCCGCATGGTAATGTCATTAGACAACTTTCGCTGCAAGCTCCAATAGTTTGGTGTGGGGGCTCCGGTCCAGCAGATGCTGGCAACAAATCACTCAATATAGCCGGCAGTAGGAACTGGTGAGATGCTGAGGGTTTGCTCTCTCTGTAGAGAGACTGTAGTGTTGTATCAATAACCTATGTATTCATATACTGTGAAACAGTCTTTTTTTTTCTACCAGCCGATAATTTTTGCAGCCCCAAGTAGTTTTATAAAACAACAACAAAACATTACAGAAAGCCACATGGGCCTTTCTCTTCCTTTTATATAATTTTGTCGACTGACATGCAACTTGTGAAATTTGCAAAAATTATGTGCTTGTGGAAAAAGGACTAATTTACAGTACTCCTGACCCAATTACTGTATACCAGATTTTTTTTTAGCTTAGAACTTGAATGTGCAATTTTTAAAATTTTTAAAGAAATTCACGAATTCAAGTCATTTGTTAATAAACAAGCGGCTGCTACTGCTCTGAAACACTTAACTCTGGACGACTCAAATTGCAAATTCCAGAGGTCGGCAAAAAATGAAATGGGTAAAACGTGAAAAAGAAAAAGAGCACACGAAGAAGACCTGGTGTACAGTAAACTTAGTTATCTATACATAATCCATGCATGCATTGACCTTTCTGACCTATCTTATACAGCTAATCAGGTAGGCTGCATATTCAGAAAAAATTTAAGTGGATCTTTGCTTTCCTCATGGAAGCAGCAAGAAAATGTGAGACTAATCAATTTGCTACAATAGAGTTGTGTTAAATGTTCGCTCTTTGGACAAGTTCAACCTCTCTACAAGTTGGTTACTGTCTCTCAGCTGGCTGGAGAATGGTCATCTATTTACAGGTGGTTTTGCAGCACTGATCTTAATCTTGGTGAAAGGAGCCAAAATTGTCTAGAAATATTTATTTTTTTCTTTTTTGAAGAAATCGCAAAGGTGTGAAGTAATACCCGCTGATTAGTGTTGGTTTTCAGAAAGTTGGTAATAAATCAAAATGATTTTCACGTCCTTTTCTGTTGATCAGATTTTATACGGGACAATATTCTTCACTGTCTTCCCATCATATCTGCAACACACTTTCAGCAATACCAAAGCTTCATGAATACAATCTTATTGATCATAGGCTACTCACTGTATGAAGAGCCCTTCAATCTTGCCCAACAAAGTGGAGCATATGAAATCCTTTCTACAAATAACAACAAGTTTGCCCGGCAAATGACAATAATGGAGCCAGTCTTCTGGTGCAAATTCGGGGGAGTCAGTAAAACTGTCAATGTCATTGGCAGTACTGACTGGTAAGATGCTGCCAGGCTCAGGCCAGTGTTCTGTTCACCTTCCAACATATGTATGCTTGTGTGCGCCATGACCCAGGCTTGAAAAAATTACAAGCAGATGCTAACATGTTGCTAATCAGCTTCAGTTTACCGATTAATTTTCTGCTCATGGGGGTTTACCAATAGTAACTTGAGACTTATTACATCATTTTTTAAGGGAGATACAGGCCTTGAACTTTGTCTTCGGGTTGTTGTTTTTATTCATTCTTAAAATCTCATGGAATTTTCAGGAAAATCTGACCATGCAAATTTGATTCAATTTAAAGTAATCCAGATTTGAACGATAATAGTGATGAAGCCATTGTGGGCTTAATTCTGTCTCGGAGATAGAAGGACACTGATTTGCTGTGACAATGAATACTAAAACTATGGAAATTCCTGTGCCGAGATGATGTACTTTTTAAGCTGTGCAATGAAAGAAGAGTGAGAGCAGGCTCATCATTTTGTTCTGAAGATATGAATATGATTGCTAATCTCACAAAAGGACTCATTGAAGACTTGTCTTCTTGCAATGATGCTGTCTTGCTTTTGCTTTCTGATACCGTTTGTCTCTATAGACTGCCTGCATGGTTTGGCTTACTGCTGTGGCAAGACAGTGTAGTATGTGGTGTGTTCTCAGATGATGTGAGTGGTTGATGATTGCTCTTGTGTGTTTTTCTCCATCGATTTCTTTTCTAAGTTGCCTTTAAACTACTTTGTCTTGCCATAGTCTACTGTATTTGATACTAGTAACTGAAAAGTTAAGTCTTTTTCAAAATGTGAAATATATGTGTATAGATATTTCAAACAAAGCTATCAAAGTGGGTTTTTTTAGCAATTATATGGTGAAATGACACCCCATTGTAACATGTATACCTGTTTCAGGGATCGGCATGCTTGCACAGAATGAGTTATAACTTTCCAGTTTATGTTTTGACATTAATTTTAATCAGTTGCTAGTGATAGAATTGTTAGTATCTTCTAAGTGTAATTCTATTTATCTATCTTTTTTATTTTATTTTAGGGGAGTTTTAAACCAAACATGGTTACACCAAAAACAGACACTGATATTTTTTTCTTTCTTTGTCTTTTTAAGAAAACTAGACAAGCCGAAATGCTCACATGTCTAATCAGAAAAGAATTTCGAGGTTATGTCGACTAAATCATCACTAGCAACACTCACATAACACAATTAAAATTATCAAGGCCCCGAGTTTCAAGATAGCAAAGAGAAGAAAGAGATATGAGAATGCAAGTGTCAGTTGCAGGCCGGAGAGTAGCGTGGCCAGTTTACTGTGTGCCTACATTTATCACACACACTTTAATGGGTGTCAGCGTTCTCAATGTAACAGTGAAGTTGATTTGTGGGAGAAGTGCTGAAAAGCAGTAACTGTACATTACCTTTTAAAAACTTACATGGTTTTGTTGAAATTGAGGAACTGTTTTCACATTTGAGTAGAGTTGTACATTATTCGAGACCGGGCCCAGATGTACTCTGGACGAGGCCACAAGAGGTTGCCGCTTACCTGTCTGCCTGCGGCTGACTGTCGCCCTCCTAACGGAGGCCAGCCAGAAGTAGAAGAAGAAGAAGGTGTACATTATTTTCAGTTTCCTTTTCAGTGTCAGTCCCATGATTAAAAGAAGAAACATCCAAGAACTACCAGGGAAAGCCCTAAATTTCTATAATAATGTGTTTTCTCAGCTTACCAAGCAGCTCAGGAGCCAAATTTATTGGCTCCTCAAATTGGGTCTTTTGAGGTAGTGAAATCCCAGAATGCCTCTCATAACATGACTGCTCGTCAAACTGTTCAAGTTCCGCCTCTAAAGTGGTGCCCCTTCACTTTGAGCTTCCCATATGCTGTTATAGGTTCTAATTGGTAAGCAGTCTGTGATTACATATTTTTCTACTCTGATTTGAAGATCTGGCATAAAGATCAGGTAATATCCATAAGATAAGTTGTTAAAAGCAAAAAATTATTGTTGTTAAAGGCAAATGATTCTAACTTTTGTTTCTTGAGGAGTGCTGTCAAGTGCACACCTAAGGTCATACTTTTTCAAGGAAATTGTTTCACATGGAGCTGGCTGGCAGAAGTCTGTTATAAATCTTTTATTAAAAATCTTCTGAAATCAAAACAAAAATGGAAAAGGGAAAAGAAGATATTTCTTGTCATTGCATTGAGTAAGTGGCAGAATAAGACAAGATTTTTTTTAAAACTGTTCTATCATGTATGAGACTGGACAGATTCTAAACCAGGCCTTCAGATATTCCTTCAGATTTGTTTGCTTTTCCTTTCCATTTACATGCGCAACCCAAGACCATCATTTTTTTCCTGTTCTCTACTCTTCTGTTGATACTTATATCTATAAAAAAGAATAAAAATGTGTAATGCAAATTTTGTTTGACCAACAAATGGAGCAGACTGAACACCACACTCAATGAACCCAGAGTACCATGCTGTGGACCATTTGTTCATCCCTTCAAGTCATTTTTACAAGGACATAATAACATAGTATATTGTATATTTACTTGACTTGCCAGTTTTGGGCCAGTGTGCTGATGTCTTTGGTACTGGCTGCTTGTTGCTCTCATTATGTCTACTGGTCCCATGCTCGGCTGATAAATCTGACAGTTCATCCGCTCTCCTCAAAGTTGTTGTTTTTTGTGTGGTAATCTCCAAGAAAAGCAGATCCTAAATCACACGCTTTCTCATCTAAGTAAGTGCAAACTGCACTTGCTCATTTACTTGAAGATGTTTTAGAATATGAAGCTAAAGTTGGTATTGGGTTTTTTTTGTTGATGTTTTTTAAAAAAAAATGAAATAGACATGTTCTGACTATTGTAAGGTGATTAGCGATTTATGTTTATCAAAATTGTGCTGCAGAAGTTATGAATGCCCAATGTCATAAAAATGTGTAGATCAATGAAATTAGTCTCAGCTAATATCCGACCTTTTAGGGGATCTAGTGAGAAGAGAAAAGCAGAGTAAATGATATCTCCTCCGCACACCATCCACGACTTTTAAAAACTTTTCTCTTGTCCAGCAGTCTTCCTTCAACCAGTATTATTGTCCCTGCACTTTACAGTTGGTTTCTTGTGTTCTGTTCTTAATGAAAATAATGACTGACTGAGTGGAGGGAAACTTCTTATATTTGCCTTACTTTAAGAAAGTTTTATGGTTTGATACCAATTCAACTCATGTTTGGATAAATTGAATGAGCCAAACTATTTGACTAAGGCTGGACATTCTTTCATATGTTTTCTACTTAATGCTTTATGTTTGTACTTCCGAACTCCCCCTCTCAGACATGTCTGGGGTATTACATATGACTAGGGTCTCCTAGTTTCATCCTGTATGTTCTTGACATTTTTATATGATCTTTCTGTCTTTTTCATTTTATATCTTTTAACTTAAATTCACAATTTTTACTTCACTGTTTGTACACTTTAGACTTTCTATTTTTCAAATCTTCATATTTTTCTCTTTAGAGAAAGTGGAGCTTGCTAATGAATCTTGTGTAGAATGATGTTTTCGATACATGTACCACAATACCACACAGTAGCTCTATTTTATTTAATTATTTTTGTCACTGGTAAGTAAGTTGTTGATTTTCTTTTCCCTCACCACCCCCCCCCTCTTTTTTGTTTTTAGATTGCCTATTTATTCAAGAAAATTATTAATGCTCATGAAGAGTAATGGTGAATCATTATTGCCATGTGAATCTTTGTCCTCCAGAATTTTGATAGTATTCATTCGTTTTTCTCACAATATTTGCACACTGTTTTCAATGTAAGAATATGGACTGCTGATTGCAAAAAGGACCTGATTTTAGTCAGAAATAAAATCGAACATGTGCGGGGCTACTTTGGTCTCTAGGAGCTTTTTTTTTCCATTATCTTTCTCTTTGATACATATATATATATATATATATATATATATATATATATATATATATATATATATATATATATATATATATATATATATATATACTTTAAAATGCCCTAATATTGAAGCAATACAGTAATGCAATTAGACAATATAGAGGACTGATTTGCATTAAGTCTTATAAAAAGAAAAATGTAAACTGCACACAGATACATAATGCCTTTATAAATGTCTCACTCACTCTGTGAAAAAAAAGAATCAAGAAAAAAATGTTTGCTTGAAATCTGTGACTATCTAGATAACAAACATGGTGAGGCAACAGTTTAGAACTTGAGTTGTGTTTTGTTTTGCCGTAGATCAGCATTACCCTTTGGCACATTCTAGTTTTTTCTTGTTTATTTCCAAGAAATGCTTATGCCACCACAGCCATTAATTTGGAGTTGGCATATTTAATATTTTGCTTTACTTTTTCCCCTTCCTTCACTTTTACTTACTGTTGAGAATTTGAGTTATTTTTTCTAATGACAGCAAATCCAGGGGTTTTGCTTAGAATGAACAACTAATAGAAAAAAATGTTGCAAGTAATTTAATGTCTCTTCATTGTATCCCCTTAACATAATCTATACCCTGTATCCTATATATTGTTGAAAATCAAGTGGTACAAAGGATCATATTTATATTTACTTTTTAAAATTATTTGTAGCTTTGATGTTATCTTAGACTAGATCAACTATATTTTTGTTACAGAACTTATATATATAATCTGTCATTTGAGCTTACAATTTTGTTTTGAAGAAAGGCTTTTAAAAAGGAATAGTATATTCTACTTCAGTGTGTAATGATGTATCTTGAAGAATACAAGAAAGAAAAAGCTCTTGCTCTCTATTGTTTGCTCCATACATCTGAAATATATTCCTAAAATACCTCTATTCTTGGCACAAGTACATGTACCTTTAAGATTCATTTTTTTTACTTAAGTTGATTTATTCCTATCACCAGGACTGACATCTATGTGGCAGTAGACTTCCAACTGCCTGTTATAAACGGGTCACTCGGTGCTTTTGTGGCTGCACGGGTGGATGAGGGAGGTTGTGAGGCCTTTGCAGCTCATGGAATTTTCTTGTTTGCCTTTCCGGATAGGTACATTGTAACGAACGACTTGGGTAAGATTGACAACTATCCACACTTTTCTTATTAAGAGATCATTGTTGTTGAAGGTCAGGTGTAAAAGGAAGATTTTTACCTCTATTGCATTATTCGACAATGCATGCCAACACTTGTTCTGGTTGTAAAGCACATTGAGCTTGTAGTAGAGTTTGGGTATACGCTATATAAATGCAACCATTATTATTATCCTTTTTATATCATGTATTGGCAAAGCTATTAAGCCAAGTATTGCGAAGATACAAGATTCCTTTTGCACCATTTTGTTTAAATGGGTTTCCAGTTACATGTGTTTGTTGAAGAATCCCATTTCTAACAAGATCTGAATTTTGGTTTTTGATAATCGTGGTACGAAATGGGGGAGAGAGGAGGAGGTGTTTATGCCAAAGTTGTTGGTAAACTTTTGTTCTTTTCACCTCTTTGATAATTTTATTGCTGATTTTGAAATGTGAAACATTTGACAACAAAAATCTGGTTCTAATTTTTTTTCAGCCCGCACAAAAACCCTCAAGGAGGGTTCTCTTGCCTTCGAGGCAGGAGAGTGGCACAGACTGGGTCTGCTGGTTCAGGTAAATCCATTTTTAGTTATACTGTACGGGCTACTGGTTAAAATCATAGTACTGGACCATAGTAATTGTATGGGTATCTAAACAAAGAAGTGGCTTGTGGAAGTTGAAATGGATGTCAAAATGGCTTGATATGACTGTACAGTTTAATGCCCTTGTTGATGCAATTTTATGAAAGTCATTTCGGAGGACTGCTATAGACCTGACCATTACTATCTCCCCTGACTGTAGCATTCAACACTCCAACAGATAGCCCAGGATAAGGAAAAGTGGAAAGTGTTTGTCTGTGGCCAATACCCTGATCCAGGGTGAGAAAGGCAATGATGATGGTGATTTTGGAATCAACTTTACAACTACTACTGGTCCAAATAGTACTGGTGGGCCTATGTGAAAAATATTTCTGTCCAAATGTTGACCTTTTGTATTTTACTCATTGTATCAGTATCAGTTACAGTGGAGTCCACTTATAACGAGTCCTGAAACAATGAGAAGTCTGTTATAAAGACACTATTCTGAAACCCTGTTTTTTCTCCTTCTTTATCTTTGTAAATAAAATACTGCTATTGCGCAATCATACAGTCACGCGAGTCGGTTATAGCGGAATAATTGCTGCTGCTGTGCACAGCCCACAGACCAATTAAACATATTAAAACCTCGCCAGTTGAGAAAGTTGTTGGTGATCCAGCAAAACAAAGAATGGGAGAGCTCACGCGAACCAACAATGAAGGCCGGAGCGAATGAGTGGGGAGGGTGTGGCATGTGCAGACAAGCAGAACACATCACATGATAGGCCAACCCAGTCTATCTTATTATACATGTGTATCTAGGCATACCGTGCCTCTCACTTCTCTGGTACGGGATGGAGAGGTCACAATGCTGTGATAGATGGAGTAAATGTGTGACGTGCGCAAGAAGACGCAACGCACCACAGGGTGTGATGGGGGGACAACACAGCGGGTGGGTTAGCCTAGAGCCAGAGCCCCTTCTGTCTGATCGCCAACGCCGAGCTGTCAACATTGCTAGTGCTAGTCCTAGAGAAATAAACCTGATTCGATTTTTGATCTAGTAAGACCTACAGATCATGTTGATCATCATCAGGGGAAATACAAAAAGGAATGAGCGGAACGCCAAACTCATAGATTAGGCCTACTTACTATTTCCTTTCAATTTATTACTGGATCCCTTGTAACGAGAATCCTGCTATAACGGACATTTTGCACAGGTCCCCTCCCTCTCGTTATAACAGGATTCCACTGTACCATATTGTGCATAGTTTACATGTGTGTTTGCAAGATTTGGGAACTAGCTTTGTGCGTATTTTTGGGGGGTATGATAGCTTATCAGGAATTATTTCATGCAGGTATTTGGCAGAAGCTGCATAGTATGATTTGCTCAAATTTTGCTCTGGCCCTCTTTTTGTGCCTTTTCATTGGTTCAGCAGCATGTTCCTCAAGGCATGTCAATTTTTTTTGTAATTATCAAACAAGATTCGGTTGCTTTATTCTGGAAGTGTCCACTCACAAATTTGAGTTCTTTATGGAGCAGGAGTTGATGGAATTACATATTTTACGTGACTGGGGAAAGATGGAACGACATGAACAAGTTGCTTACTTTTGAAATAATAGAATTATGAGTGAAAGTTACTCAATTTAGGAATAATGGAATTATTGATGAGTTGTTTTACTGAGGTAAGATGAGTAAAATGAGTATATTACCGAGGCATTTGTATTTAGAGAGTCAGGGATTTGATATTGTGATACGAGATGTTGAGCCAACAGCCTTAGCGTAAGAGGGTACAAATGGATACTGCAAAAATAACATTTATTCTACCCTAAAAATCATCTTGCCAGTTTGTTTCTTACTTTTCCATGTGGCCAGGGTATAAGACAAAGTGCATCGTTATATCCAAAATCATCCCATCTGAGTCAATTAAAAACAAACTTCACTTTATTTTTGTCTTTGAACTTGTTTTGCTCTCTGTGCTCAAACATTTGCTTGATTATTTCTCTCATCAGGATGGCAACGTTCAGGGAAGCTTTGATAACAAAATTCTGTTCAACATGACTGTCCCAGCTCTGCCCGTGAGTGGTTTTGCCGCTATCGGTACAGACACATTTGGACTGGCAGATTTCGATAACCTACAGCTGACTGGACCTTCTGAAGGGCGCAAGATAATGTCGAAGCATTTACACTCCAAGTCTTTGTACTTTGAGAAAGAGCATCACTAATGGGTTTCAGTAACCACATCCTGAGATTTACTTTCTACAGAGTGCACTTCTTTACTAGCAGCTTTAATTTTCATTTTATGGACATGCAGCTTTATCAGCTGAGAGGGTTTTTTACTTTATATATTATATATTTTATTTATATATATATATAGAGAGAGAGAGAGAAAGAGAGAGAGAGAATTTTTTTGTTTTGTAACAAAACTTTTATTTTGTCCCTAAGTTCTAAATCTTGTACTCAACAACAGTGCTGAACTAGAAGTAGGCAGCACAGCTTGTGCAGCTACATTATGGACCCCTTTACAACAAAAATACACTCAAATGAGAAATTTTGGCGGGAAAATGAATGATTCAGAGGACTTGGCGAATGGGAGCCATGATAGAATTTAGTTGTGCAAATGTTTAACAGGAAATTTCTTTTATTGTTCACAAAATGTCCTTTTGAAAATACATTTTTTGGAACTGATTTGTGCATTTTGAGATAAAAAGTAGACGGGATTACCTCAAAACCAACCAGTGTCTTTCTTTACAGTGGGGTAGGCCCTATATACTCTCCCTATATACTCTCCCTATATAGTCTCATTTTTATACCACAGTTGAACACATCATGATACCTCTCTTTCAACCTTTCAACTATCAAATCCTGAGAAAGCATAGTCTTCATCAGTCATGTGCCGTTAATCATTCTGGGCAAAGGAAATACTCTTGCTTTAGATCCTGGGAGGTTTGAAATTCAGTCTCTCTCTCTTTGAGCACTGTTTTAAAAGCTTTGCATTATTGAACTAAATTGGTTACGCCTCTGAAAAGACATAATATTAAAAGAAAGGGATTTTTTTTTAAAGCCTTTTGTGATTCTTTCTCTAATTACAAATCAAAGGTCAAAATAAGGATTAGTAGATCTATGTGATGGCATTGGTATGGAACTTGGTGATTTTTTTTCTTTCCCAGAGTGCCATAGTAGATACTGGTTTTGTATGATTCTATTCCAGACTGTGATTCACTGAGTATTATAAATTATAACTAAAACAGATGGATGTCGCTCCCTGCACCAATTCATTATCTCTTTCCTGATCCCCCACCCTATATGTGAACATTTAAGTGGAGAGAGCGTCTCCAAATTCACTACTAGAGGAATGTAACGTTTTCATAGAGCTTCGTGTTACATGAAGTGGGAACATCCTTCAGTTTTTTCAAATACAATATGACATGATCATGTGAAACTTTACTCATTTAATACTCATTACTTAATGACCATGGAGATTTATCATGACAGTATACTGTCAAAATTATTTTTTAAATAAAAATTTACACAACAGCATTTTGTACCATCTTTTTTGCACCAGAGTGAGTTTGAAAGAGAATGATTGTCAAACTTGTTTATGTTAGTAATCAATTCTTTTTTTGCTGCCATTTCATACTTAACATTGTTGGTAGAATTGTACACTCATTCAATCCCACATTTATTCTACAATTGTGTTATGCTGAAAGCAATTCTAAGAAATGATTTAATGATCAGGGAAATATTTTTTACAACTTTTTCTTTGTAGCTGTAGCTCTTTTCATGTTGAATACCTTTTTAGTTGTAAGCACACTTTTTTGTGCGGGAGTATTGTTTTTGCTTCAAAAGTACCAATAGTTATTTAACAACTTATTGCTATGCCTATAGAACCAAGTCACATCACAAGTATGTGTCAGTTAACGGCTGATGTACTAACTGAAAGTACATAGCAGACACACAACAGCTACATGTACCACAATAACTAATCTTATATCCGAACAAAGTACTTCATTACATTTGTGGAGCATGATTCATGAGAAAGAACTGAAAATTAACAATTTTCTATTTTCCAGCACTTTTATTATTAGTTACTTGTTAGTTTACAGGTTCTGTCTTATTGTGAGGGAGCTTCTGCAATGGGTCCAGCATACTTACCATTTTTTTAAAATGAAGATGCATTGCTCTGCAGTTTTCCTCTACACACTGTTATTCACACATCTGATGAAGAGATCTCTCTTATTTTTTATCTTTTAAAGTATAATGCTACCTGTAGCAGATTAAGATAAATGCAGGACCAGTATCATTTCATAATTTCTGGATTCCTGTTTTTGGATTATACATCATAAGAGGTCAAAGTATGGAGGCCTAATTGTTTCCCATACTCTCGACAATATTTTTTGCTCTGCAATCAGACTTTTCATTTGAGTAGATAAATACATGTGTATTATATTTTCTTGTTATGGTACATTACTTGGTAAAATGAAATTTCCTTCTTTTGAAGTTCGTTTTTATTGACATTATTTTAAACACTAGACACAGTGTAGGTTTGTTTCAAAGGCAATTTTTTGGTCAAAACAATATTTTGTATGAAGAGCTCAAACTCTGAAAGAAGCAAGTTTGTTTTGTGTGTTCATAAATGTTAAATAATGCTTACGGAAGAATTTTTTTTGTTCAAATTATTTCAAAGCACCAACTATGCTTTTGGGAAAATCTAATAAATGCATTTTGAAGTTAAAACTTTTGAGTTGTTCATTGACTGTCCAAGTTGAATCAAGATTCTGTGAAGATAGCGCATTTCATACATAATTGCTAGTCTGGACTCTCTACCTTAATGAAACCAAAGTTAGTGTAGTCAAAGTAAAACTTATTCTGATTTTCGACTCATTTTCCAAAACTACCTGACTATTGCTGTGCTCCTGCCATTGTAACAATACTCAATAGAAACATCAGCTGTTACTGTTCAAAAATAACTTTCACTCTCCAGTTCTCATGTCAGCTGTGTATTCTATACTGGGTTACTTGTATTCAAAGTCTATGTGTGCTTCAGCTTTTTATAGTAACAAAATCATGAAGGTTTCTGAATGATACTAGAGGGGACTTGTGCTTTACATGGGTACTTAAGTTGTCTTTTGACAAATGGAATCTAAAGAAAATGATGTGACTTTATAACTCAGTTTTGAATACACATTCTACATGCATAATATGGTTTAAGTGAGGCCATCATGTCCTTATCAAAAGTATTAATGCTGGCAGCGGTGGGGCAGAGGGTTATTTACTCGATCCAAGACGTTGTAGTATGAGGTTCAAATCCAAGTTGAAAATAAAAATTATTTTCTCCTCCTTCCCCAAATATTTTCCCTCAGCTCAGTGTTCAGATGCAGGACCAAGTGTTCAGCCTTTGGAATGACCGACAGTGTCTAGGGGGCTTTTTAAGTTCAACAACGACAACAAAAAAAGACCCTTGATATCTTTTACAAGCCACTAAATATTGATTCAGGAGAGGACACATCCATGTGAAAAAAAGGAGACAGAGAAGGGGATTGGACCCAAGCTGTGATGAGACTAGATTTATAACTTATCTCATGTCTGGTTTGCTACTTTTGAACATTAGCAGTTAGGACCATAGGTAATAGAGTAACCTTGGCACTATCGAGGTCAAGTCCTGCAGATCAACTTCTGAGTAACAGTGGCAGTTAAATGTTCTTCTTTTAATTTTAATCTCTTTTAAAATGACAAGTCTTTTAAAACTGACATTAGATTTATTTGATAAGGTATATATTTATTCATAACGATGACCATCTGATAAATTATGTCCTATGGTATGACTCTTTAAAGCAAAGCTTGAGCATACTCTAGGCCATGTTTTATTAAAGGACACATGGACTTACAAAATGTTTACCAAAACAAATTGATATTGCAAAAATTTGGGTTCTGTCAAACATTTACACAAGCTAAGACATACTCCATAAATGAAAGTTTCACATTTTACTCAATGATGTGTAATGCATGAAAGGACAGTGAACATTTCTCGATTTCATATTTCATTTATGAGATGTCTCTGATAAGCATTGGCTTTATGTTTAGGCAGGAATTTGAAAGTAGGAGGCACAGGATCAAGCTGCATTTCTCTGAAAAAGAAAAAGAAAAAGAAGAACCAGCGTCAGTGCCGGTTCCCTTGATGGTCTACCATGATAATGTTTTTGTTTTACTTGACAGCAGTGGACTTTATGAATCTCTTGGTCTTTCCGCCCTACGTACTACGGAAGTCTTTTGTTGATGCACTGTGGAAGCTTCTCTAGAATTCCAACAGGAATATATCTGCACACAAAAATGTTTACACCCTACTTAGGATATAAATGAAACAAACAAACAAGACATTCTAAACTTGCTACTAAATTGTGTTGGCCATATCCAACCAGGAAGAACTTAAGCCTATCCGAGCTTTGGGGTTTTGCCCGCAGTGTGGGCACAGGTGGTCGGGTGTTGGACTTGTGGTGGAGGCAGGTCTGGTTTTGCGAACGTTGCGTTTTCGTTTGGCTTCGGTGATGCGTTTGGCTTCGGTGATGCGTTTGGCTTCGGTGATGCGCTTGGCTTCTGTTGCTTTGGCTCCCTTATAGTAGTTAGTTTTCAACGCCAGTCGAGACGATCTAGGGCCAGTGTTTCCCATGAGTCGTTCAGGATTCCTAGTTCTTTTAATGAGACTTTGGCAGTCCTTAAAACTTTTTTAATGCCCTCTGACTGAGCGCTTACCATGAAGCAGCTCTCCATACATCAGCAGTTTAGGAAACCGGCTGTCCGCCATTTTGACAACGTGGCCGGCCCATGTGGTTTACATTTTCTGGAGGAGGGTGTAGATGCTGGGGATTCTGGCCCGCTCTAAAACACCTTGTCTGAGTCTTTGTCCTGTCATCGGATGCGGAAAATTTTACGGGAACAGCTCAGGTGGGGTCGATTGAGCCGTTTGGCGTGTCTGCTGTAGACAGTCCAGGTCTCGCTGGAGTAAAGACGGGTGATAAAAACCACTACCCAGTAGACGTTCAGCATTGTGGAGAGGCTGTCTTCTACGCTTTCAGACATTCTTGCGGAGTCTCATGAAGGCGATGCTGACCTTGCCAACTCTGTTGTTAATTTCAGCATCAATATTTACATCACGTGTCCTGCCCAAGTAGATACAGCTAGTTGTCAGCCTCCTGGGGTTTCTGTCCCTTCACCATCATTTATGGCACTTTGTACGGTTGTCCTGTGAATGGTTGGTACATGACTTCAGTTTTCTTAGTATTGATGGTGAGGCCGAAGTTTTCACGGGATAAGGCGAAACAGTCCAAATTGTTTTGCATATGTACTCTTCTGTGCTAGCGTTGAGTGCAGTCTTCAGCGAAGAGAAGTTCCCTGGTAACTGTTTTCTTCACTTTGGTAACGGCCTGGAAACGCTTGATATTGAACAGCCTGCCGTCGGTTCTGTACCTGATTCGAATGCCATCTTCACTGTTGTGGAAGGCATCTGTTAGCATTGAGGAGAACACCATGCTGAAGAGAGTTGGAGCAAGGACGCACCCTTGTTTGACGCCATTGCTCTCAGGGAAGGTGTCGGACTCATCTCCGTCCCCTGGCACATTCACCACCATACCATCGTGAAACTGTATGACGATGATGATGAACTTACTTGGGCATCCATACTTCTCTATGATCGGCCACAGTCCTTCTCTGCTGACAGTGTCGAAGGCATTCGTTAAATCCACTCTTGCGCATTCATAAAAACATTCGCAAGCAATCTTTTTAAGAGAGGGAGGGGGGGTGTCTTGGTTTACAGAACATAAACAATTTTTTAAACACTCACTGATAAGTTCTGGAGTTCTGGGGGGGGGGAGGGTATTGTCCCACCTCATGTGAACATTTTACATGATACAAAATAAAAACAAAACAGTGAAAGTTTACACAATTTTAACATGGACACGGCACAATTCACTGTACCTTGTGCTAAATTAGTTCTATAAATAAATGCTACTCCCCCTCCTCTGCGCCCGACACTAGGGAAAGACTTCATCAAATAACCAACTGGACATATTGCTGAAAAATAGCAACGTCACCGTACTCCTGCAACCATGATTCTGTCATACATAAAATATAAAGGTTCATTTCAATATTTAAATCATTTAACTCGGCCGCTTTATTGCGGCATGACCTGGTGTTAAAGCAAGCTACTCTGACATTTTGTATTACTTCTTTCAAAAAGTTTCGACAGTCGACTTTGACCAAATTGTTAAAGTTAATTCTGTTTTTTTGGTCTGCTGCTGACGCACGAATTTTCTAAATCATATATAGGGCTTACTAAACACCACATGGATTGTTTTTGGTTTTAGTCGTACACCTCTTTTCTTTCTTCTCGTTTTTTCCACTTTACTGGTTTAACACACGAACAAGAGCTGAGAGAAACACACGTACATTCACACACTTGTTCCCGAGCACAGAGTTGGAAACGACTCGGAGAACAGTTTTCACGAGACACTCAGGAGAAAAAAAATTCTTTGTTATAGACGTTCGAGGGTACACGGAGTGTAGACCCCAGAAGAAGAAAAAATGTCCCATAGAAAAATACCAAGTCAACCATGGCGAATTGAAAACTGATAATTTCGTTGAGAATACTGATTGTTTTTGTACAAATCCTACATCACCACATACACTGTCAAATGACGAATACACTGATACAGTATAAAAATCCACTATATGAATAACTTAAAAATGCACTAGAAACTGTTATAATCGAGAGAGATTAGCAGCCTGTCAGGCGCTCAACACATTTAAATTAATTAGTTCGACTTCAGTATCACTTTCATGATAACTAAAAAAAAAATGAAACTTGGATACCAGGATCCAAGCTTAGAAGAAAGGAGAATATGAAGACTATGAAGAATAGAGAACCACTCAAGGAGGAACAGCTGGTGGTCAGAGTCATAATGCTCCATGCTATAGGCCTAGTTGGTGTAGATCTCTCGCTGGACGAGATGTCACAGTGCTTCTGCTCAAATCAGTTCACCACTTATTTACTCTTTCTTAATTCCAAGTATTTTAACGTGAAAGAAGAAAACAGAAAAGGCTTGCCTTAATAAACACGGACAGAGCCTGCGCATAAGCTTTCCACACTAGCCTTCCAAAGACATCCCATAAAAGGAAAGCTAAACAACAGTACCTTGAACCAAAGAGAAGATCAGAAGAAGAGACAGTGCTGCGCCCCCCCCCCCCCCCCAAAAAAAAATAAATAAATAAATAAATAAAACAGGCCAGAGGGAGTCAGTTCTTTACATGTCTTGAAGGGCAAACAAACTTGATCTTGTAGTAACATACAAAAGGCTCTAGATCTAAGCAAACACACACACACACACACACACACACACACACACACACACACACACACACACACACACACACACACACACACACACACAAACTACATAGGCTTCAGAGAATGGGAAGTACACATGTACTATATCAGTGAATTATTGAGATCACAAGAATCTGGACAGCTGTCGCATTTTTTTCCCAGTGGAATAGTTGTTAACTGCTGTATATATGTTAGAATTTATTAAAAATAATGAAGTGTTGGAAAGAGCTGGAATTGAAGATATCGACACAACCATAAAAAAGGGAGAAGATGGAGATATTTAGGACATGTCTTAAGAATGCCGAAGACAAGATAGCCCTATCAGACAAGGTATTTGAGACCAGCTGGAAAAAGAAAAAGAGGCACACTAACTGGAAGTTACAGAGGCACGTTAGGGATGAGGCAATCACCTCTCCGAATGTACCAGACGGAATAGGGAGAGAGTAAGTAGCCTAAATACATGTACTGTAATTGTTCAGTATTCATTGCTGGAGAAATAAAAAGGGGACAATTTTTCCAGAGGATGAAAATACTAGGTTTCCTTTGAACATACGGTATATTTGTGTGTATGTGTGTGTGTGTGTGTGTGTGTGTGTGTGTGTGTGTGTGTGTGTGTGTGTGTGTGTGTGTGTGTGTGAGTGAAGTGTGTGTTTTAGACAGGCCAAAACTAGGAGACGTGGTCTTTCTCAACTTTCTGGCTCGGAGGCAGAACAGTTACAAAACATAGACTGTAATAGTTAATAATCTTGAGACCATATTATCATCCGCATTGATAAAATTATGTTTGTATCACAGTCTTGCTTTTCACGATGCGTTGTTTGTTTTTTTAATAGCCTACTGACATACCATTATGATATAAGTCTCGGCGGTCGAGTGTTTGCTATCTTCACATATCTGACCTCTAAGGAAAAGCTTGCTGCACACACCCCAATTCAACTGTTGGAGACCTTGAAAAGTTGCTATAAATAAGGTGTATTTGCACAACTCGACCGAAGACGTTGATGTGAGTTGATGCGATCAGACTGCAGTGTTGCTGGCTAACACCCCCCTCAGACCTTGCAGCGATCTTCCATGTAAGTTCTGAAGTAGGGGAGGCTGCCAAGTTTGTCACAGTTTCATTTAAGTATTTGAGTATAGATGACAGTCATAATTGCAGAACTTAAACCTTGTAGTTGTAACTTAAGTTTTTTTATTTTCCACCTTCAAATTTGCGGAGTAGAGATAGTCCCTCTAAAATGTCAATTCGGCTTGTGTTGTTCAATATTTCTTCCTTTTTGTATGCAAATCAAAGCAAATGTAAATTACTCTGTAAAATTTCAACAATGAATGTTCTTTCGTTAAAAACAATTGAAAAATAAAATTTAATTCATACAATCAATCAGTCATTAATATACTCTTTTTTTAGAGTGGCAGTGATAACTTCCATCATGCAGGGCACAGTCGAGGCCTGTGATGGGCCAATGACAAACTCTCATGCTTCCCTAAATTAGTAATGTGGACGGTGTGTATCCAGTGTTGCGCAGCTTAATCGTTACATTGACTATAATGTTTTATTGTCAGTGATTTAAATCAGGGGAACTCTGTTTTGCATGCCAGTGGGGTTTTCTTTAATTTCGAGATCTCTAACTCTGAAAATTAAATGCAATGATTTGTAGTCTTATAATTGGATTTCAGTTCTGGAGTCAAAGCACAGTCGCTCATGATCTCTGCTGCTCATCATTATATTTTTTGCTACCTCAGATTTACAAAGTTCCATCTGCTCAGTAGGCTACCTAGTTTTGAGAAATTTGACGGAAAAGATTTTGAGTTACACATCATGTCAAGCTTTTACGGACGCAGTTCTTTGAATATCTTGATAAACGACCCTGAACAATCTTACAATTTTACTAGAGAAGCTTACAGAGCCATGAATTCGAGAGTGGAGGACTTGTTATATCAATTAATTATATATTACATTTGAATTAATGAATATGCTCCCCAAATCAGTTAAATTAAAGTAAGTTTATTTCATGTTTATGATTTTTGTCTTTCTTTCTTTCTTTTTTCAAACAGAAAGGATTGACATCTTCATCATGGCAATGCACTTTCCAACTCTGGTTGCTGTGGTGTGTGCTGCAGTCTGTGGAGCCTATTCACAGTCCATTGTGTTTGATGACACTCCTGGAATGGAGCGCCAGTTTGATGGAATTGGAGGTCTAAGTGGCGGTGGTGTAAGTATTTTTAGTAATACTGCTTGTCAGATAGACCTTACATAATGACAGTCTTTGACAGGAGAAGAGATGTCCCTAAAACATAAATAAAGCCAAACAACCCGCTGGTCGCCAGGTTGCTGCATGATGAAACCAAATAAGTTTTTTGCTTCTCTTGTAAAATTTACTCCGCTGGCGTTAGCCAGTCTTATCACAAGGGCAACGATATATAATTATTCAGATTTTTTAAATAGTATGCCCAGATGAGAGTTTTTTATAATATGTATCTTTAAGAAAAATTTGCATCTGGAATCAAGCTCTATTATATTAGCTGTTTGAAGGGTCACTCCTCTTGTATTTTGTGAAAATGAGCAACTACTATAATAGTGCCTAATGATCAAGTGATTTGATTAACAGTACCATGCTTTACAATTAATTGATTTGCCTCGATTTTTTTCTTTTTGCTCCTTTTAAGGCTACCTCAAAGCTACTTGTCAACTACCCACAAGAACAGCGTGACCAGATTCTTGATTATCTGTTCAAGGTATTTTTTACTATTGCTACTTAATTCTTTTCTTGTCCCCATGGAACAAATTGACATTTTACAGCTGTTGCTTGAGCAAAATGACAAATGAGAGTTATAGTATTCCTGTACTGTTACACATGTATGTAAGTCTTGAAGAAAATCTCTGAAGCCTGTCAGTATTATATGTTGCCAACATTAAGCAAGATTCCGTTGTCTAGTCTTGTTTGCCTTTATAATAATTGTAGCTTTGTAGCCTTGGTGCAAACCTCCCACCCCCAACACCCATGTCTTTGTTTATATTTCTTTTTGGTGTGCTTTTTCCCTTCCGAAGAAAGTCACGTATATATATATATCCTTTGCTTTATTAATGTATTGGGTGGTCCAGCAATATTATTTCCACCTTTTTAGCCATTTGCTGTTTTCATCAATGAATATATGACATGAAATCATAATTTTGTTTCCTCCCCTCCTCAATCTGATTTGTTTAATTTTCTTAACTTAAATAAATCCATCTGTCATTTTGTGCACCTCTCACTGCAGAGTGTCAGGCAGACGAGAGTTAATGCATTCGTTTGACAGGGGATCAAATTCTTATACGATAACTCACAAAAGACAGTGAGTTTCACCTATATTCTCAGGAGAATATATTGGTGGGTTAATACTGTCACAGAAATTTTGTTTTCATACCAGTATTTACTTTGTTGATTGTGCATTATTTGTGACAAAAAATATATTATTTTAAAATCTACAGCCAAACTTCGGAGCTTCTCTTCACATTCTTAAAGTAGAAATTGGAGGAGATGTCCAGAGTACTGGTAAGTTCTTCATAAATCTCAATTTAGTTGCTTCTCCTTTAGATTAAAAGATTATTTTGTTTATTCATGCGGATGAATTTGTGTACATTGGCATAAATAATATGTGTAAAACATATTATAGTTACATGTTCCATACACTGTTTGTATGTGTATAATACAAATGCACCTTCAAACAGTTTTAAATTCACAATTCTTTACCTGCCCTTTCTGGATGTATATATATATATATATATATAAACCTGTCTTTAATCAAAAACACTTGTGTCCAGGTGCTTCTGTCTCTGATGTTTGTTTTGCTGATGTTTTTTAATTGACATGGGGGGAAATGTTTATAAATTCTTTGAAACAAGGTTTGGCATCTGGACCCTTTTGTTTTGTCCTGTGATTGTTCACCTTCCAGCACCTTACAATTCAGATCAAAATCAGTGTAGAGACCATTATCTTTCTGTTATGACAATGATTGTTTTAACACATTTATTTTATGTTGCATGGTCAGATGGCACCGAGGCATCCCATATGCACAACAGCTGGGATGAAAATTACCAGAGAGGCTATGAATGGTGGCTCATGAAAGAAGCCAAAAAGGTTTGTATTTGATATATATAATCAAAATAAGCTCTCAAAACTGTTCCTGTGATTATGTAAATGAAAAAAGTAAAAGATCTTGAGTTAGTCATTCAAGAAAGAGTGTCATGTATTCTGTTGTTGGTATGCTAAGAAAGAACCTGCGAAACATGTCATGTGAGAAATAGTGTGGTACTATTGATTCCACAAACACTACAAAGCAGGCTTTGGTTTTTTTAATTAAAGGTACATGTACCGGGTACGATAGTTATTTCAGAGATCCACTCTTTGTTTAGGACAGTAATTCTGTGAGTTTACAGGGTGAGTCAAAATTATGTTAATATTAGTAAGAGAGAAATCTTTTATTCAGAATTTACTGAACAGTCTCAACCTGGTCACCATCATGATCAATGCACTCAAACCAGTGGTCAAAAGAACAATTTAGTGCATTGATGTACACACAGTTTGCGGGTAATACTTGATAAACACATTGTATTCTATCCTTGAGTTCATCGATGTCTGTGACTTTTTTGTTCCCATACCAGTGTTGACATAATTTTGACTCTCCCTGTAAGTGAAATTTGAATGAAAAATAGATGAATGTTTACTTTACAAAAGCTGCTTTGATGTATGGCAGCAAGAATAGAAATATTAATGTCTCTGTCATGTCAGCTGTGCGCACATTGAGCTGCTAAGCTTCTATTCCTAGATCTCTGGATCCGGGCAAAAATGGCAAGTGTGAAAAAAAAATTGGCGCTTTTTCAGTAGTTCCCACCTCACTTATTTGAGCCTAGATATCTACATCTAAGATCTATACTTTTGATCCGTGGCGAGCTAAGATATCAAAGCTAACAACTGCAAAACATCAAATTATGGTAAAATTCAGGAGGGGCAGCCCCCTACCATATTTTTATTAGGTCAGGGGGGCAAGCCCCCTGAAACCCAACTTCTCTTAGGGCCAAAACCGGCGAATAACAATTGCGGGGTGGGAACTACGGAAAAAGTGCCAAAAGGTTTACATGATTGATAGAGTGGAACTGAAGTACCAAAATCATGCTTATAGTACTCTTTAATTAATTGCAAGTCTCTAAATGTTTGGGTTTTGAACATGTTTCATTAATGTTGCAGAGAAATCCCAACATTAAACTCTATGGCTTACCTTGGGGTTTTCCGGGCTGGATTGGACAAGGTACCCACTCACCATATGTCAATGTCAGTATGACAGCCGACTACATTGTCAGGTGGATCAATGGTGCTAAAGTGTACCATAATTTAACCATTGATTATGTCGGGGTGAGTTGTTTTGATTACTTTAGGTTTTGAGTATGCTGTATTAAGATACCTTGAGAACAAGTTAAAGAGAGTTGCAATAATTTCAAACAGCATGTGGAAGTGGATAATCTTAGTTTGATTACACATTTGTAGGGCAGAGTGGTGAAATCAAATGCTCGTCAAAATAATGAAAGTCAAGAAACTGACATTTTTCCCCAGGTTTGGGAATTTTTATCGAATTCTTGTTTTTTTGGCGCAACACCTTTCTTGCCCTTTAAAAAACTCATTTCTGTGTGCATTTTACTGAAAAATGTTTATTTAAGGCATAAAAAATGTAAATTTTCAGTTCTCAAGGACTCTCAAGCTAAGGAAATAGCTCAACTTTGCGGCCATTTTCTTGCTAATGTTACCTCTGAAACCAGGCGACCCCACCTTCAATCGCCAATATCTTTACTTGTATCCAAGATAAATGGATATTTTTTTCATCAAAAGCAAGGCTAATGGACAAGCTGTCAGATAATACCAAAATAGCTCCATATGCCCCAAAATTGACGAGCGTTTGATTCATCTTGAAACATTTATTACAGGACCTTGAACAAAAAGTAAAGCATATATTTTTATACAAAAGCTTTATTTGTATTGTATATTGTCACTGTCTATGAAAACATACATTTATTGCAAGTGCTTGTAAATTTATGTTTCTTTGTTAGATGATTTTGGTATCTCTGCCCAACCCAACTTACAACCTCTTATAAATGGTCAAGCTCAAAGCATATCTTTGTAGTCTACGACGCTGTTGTTTGATGGCAGTACTTTTTATTTGCACTGAAATGTTTTAACATTTAAAGGCTTAATCATTTAATGTTTTAACAATTTTTCTTCCTAGATCTGGAATGAACGGCCATATGACATTGGTTACATTAAGGTAAGTGTTTAAACTTTCATCCTTTGATAATTACTTCCATCTAAATAAACTGAATTAAGTGATGTCCATCCTTTGATATAATTCTGATAAAAATGTAATTGTATTTTCAACTTTTTGGCTGTAACATTGAAAGCAGTGCTTTGTATATTTATTTGTTGTAATACTTACTACAGGCACTGCGCGCAACCTTGGATGCACGAGGATTCCAAAACACGCTTGTTATTGCTGCTGATGAAGAGTGGGAGATTGCAACTGACATTCAAGCGGATCCTGAACTGGCCAAAATAGTTCATGCTATTGGGTATGTAGAATGCAAATGGGCATTGCTTTTCTACTCTTTTTTTATTTTTTTTTGGTAAGTGTTTTACTGCGCTCGCAACTGCATTAAGGTCATATGAGCACGCAGGACACCTTAAGCTTTTTCAGTTGGTAGGAAATTTTGAACTTTGCTCAGGTGGTGGCAGAAGCCTACTCTTTTAGACCACCAAGGGATCTTTAACGAGGGCCCTCTGAGATTTTTCGCCTTTGTGCGAGATGGCTAGGTGTAGATCTTTCCTACCAGAAGATCAGGGTTGTGGCTGAAAGACAGCAGTAAGAAGGAGCCAAGGAGTAGCAGTAGAAAGGCTGCAGAAATAGTCAGGAGCCCAGAAGAGGGGGCAAAGGAGGTGAGGGGTAGGGGACAGAAAGAGGAGACGAAAGCAGACAACATATCATTGCTAGAGAGCAGGAAAGGAGGTGAAAGGAGAAAATTTTAGAGAAGAAAATGTTTCCGTCGTTACTCGGATTCGAACTCGGTACCTTTGAATGATAGGGACTCTTTGATCATCGTCATTGCCTTTCTCTCCCTGCACCAGGGTATAGGCCATGGACAAACACTTTCCACCTTTCTCTATCCTGGATTAGCCTCTTGATGTTATTCCATGTCTTCCCACTTTTCTGTACTTCGATTTCTGTGATTCTTCTCCAGGTTCCACGTGGTCTTCTCCTTGATCTCTTACCCTGTGGGTTCCAATCCTAAACTTTCTTTGTTATGCAGCTGCCTGACTTCCTGAGAGTATGTCCAATCCATCGCCACCACCTTCTTCCTACCTCATCTCTGACTGGGAACTGCCTTGTTTTCCTTAACCTTTCCACATTGGTGACCCTGTCTGTCCATCTGATCCTCAGTAACTTTCTTAGACACATGTTCAAGAAAACCTGGATCCTCTTTATGCAAGTCTGTGATGCGTTCCATTCTCACATCCATACAACAGGACTGACTTCACATTTGAATTGAAAATCCTCAGCTTTGTTCGAAGTGAGATATATCTCTAGTCTTCCAAATCCTATCCAAAGATATGAAAGCAGCCTGTGTTTTTCCAATGCGGAACTTTATTTCAGCACCTGCTCCTCCCTCTCTGTCAATTATACTCTCAAGATAGCAGAAGGATTCTACGTTTTCTAGTGCCTTTTCTTCTATTGTGACCTGCTCCTTTTGTTGTGCATCTGTCCTTAGGACCTTTGACTTTCCAGGGTGGATCCTCAATCCAACAGACTCTGATAGGCTGTTTAATACTTAAGTCCTTGCTTGCATCTGTTCCTGGGTGTGCGACAGAAGCGCCAAGTCGTCTGCAAAATCCAGATCGTCCAACTGTGTCCTTGGTGTCCACTGTATACCATATCTGTGTTCTCTGGTGGTTTCCTTCATTAACCAATCAACTGCCAATATGAAGATGAACGGTGATAACAAACATCCCTGTCTCACACCAGTCTTGATGTCAAAGCTGTCAGTGAGCTGGCCATCATGTACAACCCTGCAACTTGTCCCTTCGTGCATGCTCTTGATGAGGTTCACCAACTTCTGTGGGATTCCGTGGTGTCTCATTATCTTCCTTAGTGTTGCTCGGTCTATACTGTCAAAAGCCTTCTCATAGTCAAGGAAGTTGATGATCAGCTGGGAGTTCCACTCCAGGGACTCTTCCACAATAATCTTCAGCGTGGCAATCAGGTCGGTGGTTTAGCGATTTTTCTGAAAACCAGCCTGTTCATCCCGTTGTCTTGGATCCGTTGCTGTCTTGATTCTCTCAAGAATGATTTTGTTGAAGACCTTACCTGGTATTGAAAGAAGAGTGATCTCTCTGTAGTTGCTGCAGTTTCTGAAATCCCCCTTTTTTTGGGAAGTTTCACGAGGTGCCCTTCTTTCTAATCCTTTGGAAACTTGCTCTCTTTCGAGATCCTGGTAAACAGTGGGAGGAGGATGTCCGCCATCACATTGGCATCTATTTTTAGGGCTTCAGATGGAATCTGGTCAGGACCGGCCGCTTTACCTTTTTTCAGCTTCTTAATGGCATCCAGAATCTCTTGTATTGAAGGAGCATCACAGCAAATTGGTAACTCATTTCTTACTGGCAGGATGTTTGGTGGGTTACTCGGTGGTAGTCTGTTCAGGAGACTGTTGAAATGCTTTACCCATCGTTTAGACTGAGCTTCCTTTCCAAAAATGGTTTCCCCCCCTTGGTCTTGCTACCTCAGGTTTCCCGTATTTTCCAGCAAGTGTCCTTGTGGTCGGGTAAAGGATTCGCATGTTCCCTCCTACAGCTGCTTCCTCTGCCTTCTCTACCAGCCTGTTCATGAATTCCTCCTTGTCTTTTCTTAGTGATTTCTTGACATCTTTAGCTGTTGTCCTGTACTGCTCCTATGCATCCGCTCTTGATCTTCTTGTTCTACTTGCATTCTCATCTGTCTTCAGCTGTCTTCTAATCCTAATTAAATCCAATGAGTGTTGGCTAATCCATTCCTTGTGCTCCTATTTCTTCACACCGAGTACTTCTTGACAGGTTGATGTAAAGACTTCTTTGACCTTGGTCCAGTGTGTATCCACCCCTGTGTCCTCTCCGCCAAGATCAGCCTGAGGTTGAAATCTGTTCCTCAGCTGCAGCTGAAACTCTTCTTTTTTGTGTCCGTCCAAGAGACTTACTTGGAACTTCGTTCTTTTCATTCCTGTGCTGGTTCCGTGCTTTTTGAGTCGAAGCTTGAGTTTTGCCAACAGCAGATGATGATCCGATCCAACATCTGCTCCTCTCTGTACTTTGACATCTTCCAGTGAACGCCTGAACCTACGAGAGATACAAAAATGATCTATCTGGTTCTCCGCCACTCCATCTGACGAAACCCATGTGGCCTTGTGAATCCTCTTGTGGGGAAAAACAGAGCCTCCAATGACAAAACTGTTGAAAGCACATAGATTTGCAAATCGCTCACCGTTCTCATTCATTTGTCCCAAGCCATGTTGTCCCATAATTCTTTCATACCCTACATTGTCCTGGCCAATCTTGGCATTGACATCTCCCATTATGATGTTGACATCCTTCCTTGGTAGTTTGTCGATGACCCCCTGGAGCTGGCTGTAAAAGGCATACTTGTCTTCCTCCGAAGCATCATTTGTTGGGGCGTAGATTTGGACTATATGCATGTTGATGCTCTTGCTCCTTATAGTGAATGAAGCCAAGATGATCCTTTCCCCGTGTGGTTCCTATCCTCTAAGTGACTTCTGGGCATGCTTACTCAAAAGGATTCCTACTCCTTCCGCATGGTACTTGTCTTCCCTCCCAGAATACAATACTTGTTCCTCTGAACTGAGCTGCTTCTGTCCAGACTGTATCCAGTGTGTTATGCTGACTCCTAGTATGCGCAGCCTGTATCTCTTCATCTCTTGTACTACTTGAGAACTCTTTCCTGCTTCATACAAGGTGCGAACATTCCACAACGCAATCCGGAGAGACTTGTTCGACAGAGAAGGTTTCGGGTCAGAAGAGTCCTTTCGGCTTTGTCCGCTGTGTAGTTGGCCCTCCGCAAACTGGCACTTTTCGGGCGACCAGACCTTTGCATGTTTAGTCGCCTCTTACGACAAGGAGTATCACGGCAGGTGTATTCTTTGCTCCCCCATAGTAAAACTATAGGTGCGGACTCTTTGAAGGGGCATGAAAATAGAATGAAAACGAAAAATGTCTTTCTGTCACTCATCATTCACTGAAGTGTATGTTTATCTTAAAACCTTTAATGTTTTGTTAAACTCTCTAGCCTTATCCATTTTCTAATTAATTTGTATTTTTTATGCCCTGGGAGTATTTGTGTTCTTTCATGCTGCTTGTCAGTAATGGGGGTGGACTGCCTGTCAAGAAAAGTAAACATTTTCACAGCTGGGCATTTTGAATTCAAAGTCATCTATGTCACTGTAAAAATGCTGCATGGTTTCTTGACAGGTGTCACTACCCAGGCACTCTTTCTGATCCGGACGCTGTATACACAGGGAAACAATTGTGGGCCTCGGAAGATTATAGCACTTTCAATGATGACGTTGGTGGAGGATGCTGGGCACGGGTAACTGTTTTGTTCGTCGTAGCTTAGATGTTTTCACTGTTCGGCCGCGTCTTATATTTGATTTTGTATGTTGCTGCCTTCTTGGTGATCATGGAAATGAGCATGATTTTTTAAATTACAGGTTTTGGCACTTTATTGTATTTGGAGGTTTTGCTGACGGGCTGATAGGGTCCAAAATGAATGAGTATGAGTAAGGTGACAAAACTTAAAGTCAGTTAGATATGAGATTTGCTTTTTGAACTGTAAATAGATTACAATGAAAAATAGTTGAAAAATATTTTTTTTCTTTGTGAAGATGGAGACGGATGGAAATTAGGGGAGGGGGTGTTGGCCAACAGATGACACCATATGTATAATACTCAACATGCATTTGCATAATTTTCATAAAACAAGTGGACACATGTATTATAAGCATTTATTGTTTCATGTGTTTCTTGCTGTCTTACAATCAGTGCAAATGTCTACCCCTGACTGAAAAGAAGCAAATGAAATCAGCATACAAACATGTTAAATGTATTCAGCCCGGCATAAGAGTGGCAAACAGATTATATCAGACATCCTTTCTCATTTTTAAGTCACCTCATGTTTGTAACCAAACTGTGGCGGTCTCTTATATTTTTCACTCTTGATTTTTGTCTCTATAGTTTAAACAGAATAATTTTTGGTTAAAGTCAAGGATTTGTCATATAGCTATGATTTCTGTCTTGTAATTGCCTTTTACTTCTTACCTTGTGAAGACAAAGTTGTTTAGTCTTTTTCTTTTGAAACTTGAAAGTCAAGTTTGTTTGTATGCACAGTCATTGAAAGGGGGTGGGGCAGATTTGTTTCTTGATAACCTTTCTATGCAATTGCAATTTATTTTCTTCCCTTTCTTGATAAACAGCTATTCATGTATTTATCTAAGTGAAATGTGTTACTACTTCTTGTTCTTCAGCTCAGTTGAGGATGTTCCTGTCATTGTAGTTGAGTCATAAGTACAAATAGTCACAGTAACCACCAGTTTCTCCTTACAAGTGAAAGATAACAGAACGTGACTTTGAACCTGTGTCCTTACATTCCCAGTAGCTGCAGTTTTCAAACTGCATTCTTTTATTTATCAGTTATGCTCCTTCATATTAAATGATTACATTTTAAAGTGGCTTTCATATTACACTGCATATTCTGGAGTGAGAAATAATATACTAAACAAGCTCTTTCCCAATCATATTTTTTACATATTTAAGCAGAGATTTGTTACAAAAAGTTTCACATTTCTGAGTCTGTTTGTTAGTGACCAGACACAAAAAAAAGATAAAGAATACTGATATGATTCTTACCTTGCAGGCTTAAGTACCTCTAGAAGATATGAACCAAGTCTTGGTATTTGTAATAGATGTCTTTGAGATATGTTCACAACCTTGAGAAATTGTTATTGATCAAGCAACATTGAGAATTTTTTTTTATTTGATGGAATAGCAAAAACCTGCTCCTAGCTGTCAAGGAAACAAGCCTTGTGGAGTAGATGTACTTTTTCTATACCTCTTCATCCTGATATTTATTTCTTTAGGGCCTACTCTTTTACACCATACACTTTCAAAATCAGTGGCCTTTTCTTTTACATAAAACATCCTTGATAAGTGTCACCCGCCTCAAGGACCAGCAAAATTAATAAACACAGTAAAACGTTTGGCTTTTCACTATGCCCTTTCAACTGCATGAAAATAATATTGTGATTTTGAAATTCCTAAAGTCATCGTTATGGTTTTATTTATTTGAAATTATAGAAGTCAGAGAAAGAAACAGTTTTTTCAAAAGGAAGTACGAAACACGTATATATATATATATTTTTTAATCAGCTGTATGGGATCACAACATGCAGAAAAATCTATGATGAAACTTTTGTATTTACGATGGTCTTACAAATCTATTTATGTCTGTGCCTTTCCTCTTATACCTTGTGCAGACATGTCATCTTTGTCATGTTTACTCTCTTACTCTCTTTGTTATAATAAATTTCCTCCTGCCCTCATCATTTACTACTAACCTCTAACTGCATTCTGTTAGTGTTATGTATTTAGTTGATTTCCTGATTTTCTTTAATAACACCATAATTTTTGTTCCTCAGATTCTTAATCAGAATTACGTCAATGGCTTGATGACAGCGTAAGTAGTTTTTTATTCCACATATAATTGCTTCAGTGCTGGTTAAATGGACATAATAACTTCACTTCTGTTACTGATCCAGTTTTCTTTGCTGTTATTGTTGTTCTTGTTATCGATAGAACTTCATACAGAAATTGAAGGGTTTTGAAAAAAAGCTGAAAGTAATCTTCCTTATTTTTCTCTTTCATTCTCTTCTGGAAGAAAAAGATGCTCCCTCCCCACCTTTAAATGATTTTACACGATGGATACAGACCTTTACCACCTTTGTGACATAAATACTCAAAACGTATACCACTTATGGGGATTATATCTCTTAAAATGGAGCAGGACACTGCATCACACAGTTTTTTCCCTTAGGTGCTCAGAGCTTCTTACCATGGCAGTGAAATCATGGATGCAATAAATGCAAGTACATAGCTCTACTCAATGAAGAGTTAATTTTTGGTTTCTTCATTATTAGCTACACATTTGTCAAGTGTCTATAACTACGTATCTGTGTTATATCGCCTCCATGATGTCAGTGGCGCAGTGTGTAGCTCACTTCATGCCGGGAGGTATATTAGGGCCTAACTAAAGAATATAAGTGGTAGGTGTAGGTAAATGGGTACTGTTATTTTTAGCTTTTTTTTTAGCTTTTCTCCTCAATTTTGCTGTGGATTTTCTTTCTGATTGTAGATAATCCCATAAGTTGGGATTTGTAATATCTTGAAACTTTTTTTTGCAAAGAAGAGATTCAACTGATAATGTTCTGCTTTTTTATTGAGAAAAAATTCCTTGTTTCTTTATGATTTCTTAACATCGATATTTAATCTAAATATTGTTTTTGTTTCTGTGTAGGCCTAACACCCTTGATTAAAATTTTGTTTAGGGAAGAAACCCTATCAAATTCTTATCTAGATCTAAACCCCAGCAAATGAGTTGAGCTGAAATGCTCCTTTAAGGTAAAAGCAAACTTCAATGAGTTTCTTTGTCAAGAAATGATAATTAAGTTTACTGGAAGCAACTGAAAATTGTAATTTTGTTCTGTTTCTTATGACGGTCATGTCTCTATCTTGATTTGTCATACTCTTTCTTTTGGCTTGGTTTGTGTATCTTGTGATTTGACACATCCAACAACAGAACACACAAAGCTATTTCATAAAGTTTTGTATCTGTGGACAGCACCATTTCGTGGAACCTGATAGCCAGCTACTATGACAACTTGCCGTACTATGGTAATGGTTTGATGACAGCTGTTGAACCATGGTCAGGCAACTATGTCGTAGAGACACCCATCTGGGTTTCAGGTGAGAAACCATTGGACAGTAGGCCTATCTGTTTGGTCTATAAGATTTTTTTGTTGAATTCAAGAGCAATGTTGATATAAATACAGAAACAAATTTTTATTGTGACCTTTCATTTTGCATAATATAGATCTAGTATAACTTCTTATGAAGCTTTAATTTTTTTTGTCACCTGCATTGGCAGCCTCTTTCCTTTTCTTCAGATCAATGATAAAGAATCTTTGGGAAGGTAATCTACCTTGAAATGGATGTAAATGCCAATAATTTATTCAATGTATTCTTTTTTTTCAAATTGGACTTTCATTCCAACTCTAAAATGACTAGATTCTCTTGTAGTCTCCTGTTTATTATGCTTCCAAAAAGTATTTTTATTTTCTTGACATATACTCTTTGGTATTTTTATGGATTTTGCTTTTGCATTTTTGGACAAGCTTGTTTTGTTTGGTACAATGAATAGTCAATCATTCTATGATGAAAAATATGTGTACCTTTATTTTCATTTAGTGAGGAACCACTACTTTTTTTAATAAATATCATATTATTATTCTAAAATGTTCAATTTACCTCAAAGTGTTTGTTTTCAGTTTGCATTTTATTCTTCAGAAGTGATCGTTTTTTTTGTGTGTGTTTTTTTTTTATGCAGCACATACAACACAGTTTGCTTTTGTTGGCTGGAACTATCTCAAGCATGGGTACGGAGTTGGGAAACTGCCAAAGGGAGGTTCTTATGTGGGTCTTGTCAATCCGACAGGAACAGAACTTACCATTGTCATTGAAACTATGGTAAATAACCTAGCTCGTGTGAATTATGAAGTTCAGTTTTCTGTGTTAAGCTCAAGAGTGCTTATGTTAGTCAAACCTCATTAAACTGCCTACATTGGGATGAGCATGAAGTTGGTGGTACAGCAGGGCTGGCAGTACAACAAGGTTTTCATGTCCTCTGTTAAATACATGTAGTACCGACTGCCAGACGTCAAAGGAAATTGTTTACCGGTCACCAGATGAAGTAATGAATTATCTGCGTTTGATCTGTCACTTAGCCTTGAGCGTGCGTTCTCACTGAATAAAAGCCCTAAGGGCACTCACCAGCCTGTTAGTTATTTTGCTAGGTGAGGGGAGGGGGGGGGGAGTGTATACTAGGCTCTGCACAACAACATAACTTTGTTTGGCAAACAATATGTAGATGACACAGATGTGCATTTGAACAAATCCCCCCTTTTGTACAGTGTGTGCTTGGTAGAGTTCAGTGTATTTTCCGGGAATTTTCCAGCATTTCTTCAGTAGGCCCTATCAAAGAAACGAAAATGCCTCTAATTTGAAACCAAACTACTTTTGATTGATAATGACGAATACATTACTTGCTCAGTGCCTCTACGCAAAAACCTTATATTAGCTATAACGAATGCTCAGAATCAATGAAACTGAAGGCCAGGCCCGACGACTTCATTAAATCTGAGTTCCACTGTAATAGGCTTACACTATTTCACATATATAAGTCTCTATGAGCTAAGTCTACGTCTAGATTAAACGCTTTTGTAGATTTCTGGCAATGGATAGATCTACAGTGAGGAAGAGTGTCGCAAGTGACACAATACAATGCGTAATGTAGGAAAGTACAATTAAAATAAACCATAACTTTGCAATTCAGCATCAAAATTTCGTTCCTCGTGTGATGCGCTGATAAGGAAAATGCTATTATCTTTTGGCCTTGATCAATTTAAAAAAAAAATTGGAATCAAATTTTTAAGTCACTTGAAGAAACTTAAAAGGAACCCTGCAATCTCGTTTCCCCCCCCCCCCCCCCCCCCCCCCCAAGCATGAGACCAACCAGCAGCCTACTTTCATACCAAAAACATGCATTATTAGCATTCACACATGATGCCTTAGTGCATGTTGGGGTCAGAGTGGCGGCCACACATATGTGACTTTGTGTGCATGTGTCTGAGGGGTTGGGGGAGGGAGTACCAGAGGTCCGGGAGAGAAAGTTCAATAGAGATGTCTATACTAACGCGGCCCAATTTTTTTCTCTATACTGATCAATATTACAATGATAAGCTGCTAGTCTTGACATAGATCTGCAATATGAATTGCACGCTGGACTGTGGAGTCAAACGTTGCTGTATACTAGGCTCTACACAACAACATAACTTTGTTTGGCAAACAATACATTATAGATGATAGATGACACAGACGTGCATTTGAATAAATCGCCCCTTTTGTACAGTGTGTGCTAGGTAGAGTTCAGTGTATTTTCCAGGACAGATATTATCATTATATTGGGGTTTCTTTTCCTGTTTAATTTTTGCTCATCTCCTGATCTTTTAATATTTTTTTAAACTTTAACTTTGCTTTAGGTCTATTTTCATGTGTGATGATTAATCTGGGTATTTTTGTTTAACTATTTCCACTTATTTAGGTCTTTAGCTTTTTCTTCAGAGAAAATTGTCTTCACTTCACTTTTTTTTTAAACTTTTGGAAAAATGAATCCATAAACAACATTGTCAAAGGTAAAAATATTGATAGGCCTTAATGGTAATGAGTTATCATAAAGACAACCATAATAATTGTGATAATCATAGTAATGATAATAGTCATAGTAATACCATGACAATAATAAATTTACTAATAACAATTATGTTTATTATATGAATAATAATTGCAATTTTGGCAATGCAAAAATACCTCCTTTTTATATATATATATGTCAAGAGCACTGTCTGAGGCTTTGCTGCTTTTTTTGTCTTTGACAGAGCCATAATCATTCCGTGTGTATTCGACCACCATTGCCAGCCTACAATGTTGAGCCCCAAGTTGTCAATATTTCATTGGCAGGAAAATTCGTAAGTGTTTTTAGCATAAGACTTAGTATAAGTTGTGCTTACCTTGAAATGTATTTTAGGGCAACCAACTATTGTTACATGTTTCTTTGGTATATGAATAATAAACAGGACATGGTGCCTTTCTATCTATTGATATATGTTGAAAAAAGCAAGTGCATGCTTTTATGATTATAGATTTATTAAAAACTTACCTTAATGTAGTATGATTTTCGTTAGTTATAGTCAGTGTTTTCTATTTAGGGCGCATCAGAAGATCTAAAATTTGAAAAGTTCCCGATAAGCCCATATTATGCAGTACAGACATGTGTAGCATATAATGCTTTTTTTCATTCATCCCAATGATACATTTCTTGTCAGTAATGCAATAAATTTTATTTTCCCCACAGTCCAGCATCACCAAAATGAATGTTTGGTACACCAAACTTGGATTTGATGGTGCCAAGGATATTTTGTTCGAGAAAAGGGACCAAATTCAAGTTAGTGTTTAGCTCTTTGGGGTATATGCAATGACATAAGACTTTAATGGAGCAACCATTGTAGATTTGTTGGAATTATTTTCAGTGAAAAGAGGGTATTGCTGCAAAGTGCATGCATATTCATCCACATCTTTTGGGAAAACATTTTCTTCCCTTGTTTCAAAATTTCATCATATTTCTCCTTTTTTTCTCTTCAGTTTGTGTACGTTTACTTGAGAATGCTTGCCAATACCTTCATAATGAGTGTTGTTAGGCCTACATGAGCTGATTCATCGGTACAGAATTTGATGTGAAGATTGTACACTTGTCTGACTGGTCAGGTCTATACATGATTGGGTCGGGTCAGGAGAGGGAACTGATTAATGCCCACATATCTATCATAAAAGCCTGAAGTTCAGTAAAAAATAACTCTTTTTTATCATACCACTGAGCATTCATCATTTCCTCAATACTCTGTATACATTACCACACAATGCCAAGTATAGAAACAGAAGGCTTTTATTGTTTACATCATGCTCCTTCCTCTGAAGAAATAAAAATGAAAGTGTTTGAAGAGTCCTATTAGATAGCATTTTATTGTTTAGGACAAAGTAACCACCTGTGCATGCTTTTTTTATCTTTAGTATTTCTAATGAGCAGCACGTGGATGGCAAGAACTGTGTGCTACTTAAGCCTAAAGAAACAACTTGCTTATTGTCAGTATGTCGGGTCAGACACAGTCAAACTGGTGACAGTTCTGAAAAACTTTGAATGGGCATTGCCACCAAACAAAGTCTACAAATCTGGTGGTGTGCCCCTTTCTTTTTAGTCTCAATGATCTTTTTGGAGTTGATGCTACTTCAATAATTAGTAGTAAAAACTGACAAGACATTTTGTCTTCAAGCTTTAGTTAAGTATACTTTTTATTTTGTTCATGATTGCTTTCACTTTTGATAAAGATTAACGTGTCAACTCCCATTTTAAACTATAAACTATATATCCTGATTTTTTTTCTAGAATTGATAAGGAATTAGGTACAGTGGTCTGTATCCAACATAATCCCACTAGATGACATATTGAACTCCATTTGGACCCTCCCCCACCCCCCTTCTACCCCACAATGAAACCTTGTTTTACTCTTTATCTGACCTGCCTCATTACTAAATCCAAAGTTCACAAGACTACTCCAACATAACAAAGGATCCCTTGTATTTACTGTCACATTTCTTCCCAGTTTGTCAATGGCAAGGCACAACTGAGCCTGGGATTGGATGAGGTCATCACGCTCACGACAATGACCACGGGTCAGAAGGGTGCTTATCCTGAGCCGCCTCCTTCTCAGCCCTTCCCCCTCCCTTACACAGAGGACTTTGAAAGTAAGGATCATTTGTTCATTTTTCATTGTGTCGCTGCTTCCACAGAAATGGTTAGAATTTTTTATGGGGCGTTACTCAGCTCCCAGCTATGGTTTGGTTGCTCTTGTGGGTGGCTATTGTTTTTATCCAATTACTAACACTTGTCTGACAGGCAGTATATGGTTCCATCACTTCCTTATAATAATAATTCAAATTCAGATCTTGGCCAGCATTAACAACAGATTGAAAATAATCTGTCTGTCTGTCTGTCTGTCTGTCTGTCTGTCTGTCTGTCTGTCTCTCTCTCTCTCTCTCTCTCTCTCTCTCTCTCTGCGTGTCTCTATCTCTCTCTTTCACTCACTCACCCTCTCACTCACTCACTCTTTGAATTAAACATAATTTTATAGATCATCAAAATTATCAAACTATTTTTATGCCTGTCTCTAACTTCACCAACATGAAGTTTTTATGTTACATCACATGTTGGCATTAATAACCAAGAAACCTGGCTAATGATTTCATTATTTCAAAGTTGCAATGGAGCAGTAGAAGAAAGTCATCAGATGTGTGGGTATATGCAAGCTTGATGTGTTTCATAATGTAAGGGCTTTTCTCTTCCTTTTATATTATTGTCTTAAGAGATATGTAACTTGTGAAATTTGCAAAAATTTTGTACTTGTGAAAAAAGGACTGATTTACAGTATTCAACACCTCCGTCTACCAGTACTTTCTGGTTCTGTTGTTGTTGTTTTTTTTATTTTGTGTGCATGACTTGAATTTGCAATTTTTACAATTTTACAATTTTACAAGAAATGTGTGAATTCAAGTGATTTGCAAAATGATAAGTGGTGTGACTGATTGAAACACAAGGCTCTGGGCGACTCAAATCGCAAATTCAAATTGTTCACCAAAAACAAAATGGGCAAAATGTAAAAAAAAAAAACAGTTTTACAGTAAACCTAGTTCTCTATACATAATTTATGCATGCATTAATCTTTCTGACTGTTCTAATACAGCTAATCAGGTAGGCTGCATTTTCAGTAAAATGTTTAAAATAAATTAAAAAGTGGTTCTTTGCTTTTGTCATGGAAGCACGAAGAAAGTGTGAATCTGTAATCAATTTGCTATGTAAGAATCTCAGCTCTGGTTAAATTTATTTTTCTCCTAAAGTGTGAAACTTGACTGGAGGACTATATGATGATTTTTTCCTGCTGGAATAGAAGTAAGCTTATAATATGTTTAAAATGAACTTTTCTGAACTGCATGTGCTCATACTCCGTTGTGTTCGTGTTCACTCTATGGACAAGTTCGACCTCTCTACAAGTTGGTTACTGTCTCTCAGCTGGCTGGAGACTGGTCATCTATTTACAGGTGGTTTTGCAGCAGTAATCCTTTTCTTGATGAAAGAAGTCATATTGTCAAAATTGTTTAGAAAATAATATTGGGGGGGGTTCTAAGATTCTAAGACATCAGAAAATATATCGAATAATATTACCTCCTGATGGGGATTGATTTATTGATTTTTAGAAAGTTGTTTGTTTAGAAAAAATCAAAAAGGTTTTCATGTCCTTTCCTGTTTTCCTGTTGATGTAATAAGGGACAATATTCTTGGCTGTCTTCCCATCAGTGTTTACAATACAATTTCAGCAATTCCAAAGTGTCATGAATACAATCTTATTGATCATAGGCTACTCACTGTATGAAGAGCCCTTCAATCTTGCCCAACAAAGTGGAGCATATGAAATCCTTTCTACGAATAACAACACGTTTGCCCGACAAATGACAATAATGGAGCCAGTCTTCTGGTGCAAATTCGGGGGAGTCAGTAAAACTGTCAATGTCATTGGCAGTACTGACTGGTAAGATGCTGCCAGGCTCAGGCCAGTGTTCTGTTCACCTTCCAACATATGCATGCTTGTGTGCGCCATGACCCAGGCTTGAAAAAATTACCAGCAGTTTATGCTAACATGTTTCTAATCAGCTTCAGGTTGTCGATTAATTTTCTGCTCATGGGGGTTTACCAATATCAGCTTGAGACTTATTGCATCAGTTTTGTCGAAAGAGATACTGACCTAGAACTTAGTCTTTGGGTTGTGGGGTTTTTTTTTAATTCTTGAACTCTCATGGAAGACTTGACCAAGCAAATTTTGTTTGATTGAAGATAATCCGGATTTGAATGATATCATAGTGATGAAGCCTTTGGGGGCTTAATTCTGCCTCAGAGACAGTGGGATACTAGTTGTGATTATGAATACTTAGACAGTGGAAATTCTGTGTTGAGATGATGTACTTTTTAAGCTGTGCAAAGAAAGAAAAGTGAGCGTAGACTCATTATAATATTTTGTTCAGAAGATATGATTATTTATGTATGCTAATCCCACAAAGGACTCGTTGAAGACTGTCTTCTTGCAAAGATTGCTGTCTTGCTTTTGCTTTAAGACACAGTTTGTTTATAGACTGCCTGCATGGTTTGACTTACTGCTGTGGCTAGATGGTGTAATATATAGTGTATTCTCAGATGATATGAGTGGTTGATGATTGCTCTTGAGGGTTCTCCTCCATCGACCTCACCTTCACTTTGTCTTCTCTTAGAGCCTGCTTTATTTGATACTGACAAATGAATTTTTTTTTTTTTTTCAAAATGTGGAATATGCATACGTCTCTAGGTATTTTGAACGTAGCCATCTAAGTGCTTTCTTTGCATGATTTTATGGTCAAATGACACTCCATTGTATCTTCTTATATCTGATCATTTGTGTCAGGAATCAACATTTAATTAACCCACATACCATTCTTTGAACCATTTGTTTTTTTCTTCAAGTAGAACCATTTTAAAATGGACCTAATAACATGATATAATGTTTATTTACCTGACTTGACCTAGCAAGGCCCGGCCAGTGTGCTTATATGTCCTACGTACTAGCTTCTGATTGCTCTTATTATGTCTACTGGTCCCAACCTTGACTGATAAAATCTCACATTCAGCTGCCCTCTTCAAAGGATAAAATTTTCTGTATTATTTCTGTAAATGTCAAGTTAAGTAGTTCCTAAATCACAAGCTCTCTTACCTAAGTCAGAGCGAACGTGTACTGCACTCCTTTATTTACCTGAAAATGTTTTAGAATGTGAAACTAATTTTGTATTTAAAAACTCTTGTAAAGTGATTACTGATTATCTGGGTTTATCAGAATTGGGCTGCTAAAGATTATGAAAGCACAATACCATATGTGTAGATCAATGAAACTAGTCTCATCCTTTACCTGACATTTTAGAGGGTCTGGTCAGAAGAGAAAAGCAGATCGCTTATCTCCCATACACACCATCCACTACTTTTTAAAACTTTTCTCATACATAGCAGTCTTCCATCAGCCAGTATTATTATAACTATTCTTTACAGTATTTTTTATGTGTTCTTAGTGTATGATTTATGAAGGGAAGCTTCTCATATGTACCTTACAAAGGAAGTTTATATGATTCAACATCAATTTAACTCGTTTGAATAAATTAAATGAGCCGAAATACTTGACTTTTAACTGAATTTGTGCATTCATGCTTTTAATGTACTTAGTTCTCAAGGCACAGTCATTTTGACCCTAACTTCTTCTAAACTCCCTCTCTCACACTTTTCTAGGGTTTTACATATGAGTAGAGTTTCCCCATTTCGTCCTGTATATTCTTGACATTTTTGTATGATTTTTCTGTCTGTCTTCTTCATTTTATATTTTAAAGCATATTTCTATAATTTCCGACTTCTGTTTGTACGCTCTAGATTTTCCTTTTTAAAATTTTTTTTTCATTTTGCTCTTAAGTACAAGCGGAGCTTGCTACAGAATCTTGTTTAGAATGATGCTGTCGATATCACAATAACACACAATTGACAATAGCTCTAGTGAATTTCATTATTTTTGTCACTGGTATTGGTTAGTAATTAAGTGATTGATTTTTTTGCCCCTGACCTGCCCCCTTTTTTTTAGATTGCTGTTTTACCCAATAATTGTTTTATGCTCATGAAGAGTTTAAAGGTGAATCATTATTGTCATGTGAATCTTTGTCCTCCAGCATTTTGACAGCTTTCGTTCTCTTTTCTCACAATATGTGCACACTGTATTCAGTGTAAGAATATAGAATGCAAATTGCAAGGAGGGCCTTATTTCAGTTAGAAATGAGATTGAACATGTACAGCACTAAGACTCTTTGAGACATATACTTAAAACTGCCCTACCTAATATTGAAGCATTACAGTAATGCAATTAGACTATAATGACAACTGATTTGCACAAAGTATTATTCTTATGAATGGATGTAAACTGCACACAGATATGTAATTTATAAATGTCTCACCCATTTTGTAAAATAAAATGTAGAAAAAAATGGGGGTTTTTAGAAGTTCTATTTTCAAGATAACAGAAATGGTGACGTCACAGTTTAGCACATGAGTAGTGTTTGCATTGTCGCAGATCAGCATTCCCCTTTTACTTATTCTAGTTTTTTGGGGGGGTATATTTCCAAGAAACACCTATGCAACCACAGCCATTTATTTTAAAGAGAGAGAGATTTTTAAAAAAAAAGAATCAAATGTGTGCAGCGTGCACATTTTAATTAAACTTCAATGCCTCCGTCAAAAGATACACTTCTGCTGCACACAAGTCAAATATTCTGAAAGGAATGAATTTCAAATCTCTGTCTGCACCCAATGGGTTACTGTTTAAACAGATTTCAATAGACCATCATGCACTTTGTTAAATGGGAGTACTAAGAAATCATGCTCTAAAAGACCTGTAACTAAAGAAGAGTATCCTCTGATGCTGACTGATATTCAAACACTTGACACACGAACACATTCTGTATGCTTGTTGTATGACTTCAAACAATGATATTTAATATAAAATACTGGTAAATTTTACTTCATAGTTGGAGTTGCCATATTTAATCTTTTGTTTTATTATTTTCCCTTTCTTCAATTTTACCTGCTGTTTAGAATAATTTGAATTATTTTTCTAATATGTCAAATTTTCACAGACCAGCACTTGCAGTGGATTTTCTTACAATAAACAACTGATAGAAAAAAATAATTTTAAAGTACAGTCAGACCTTGTTATATCGCCACCCTTGGGACAAGCAAAAAGTTGGTGAAACAGCAGGCTTGCGGTTCAATGGGGTTCCCCTGTTGTATAGCCCCAACAGCCCAACATCAAGAAACATGATTCTGTTGTGCGATCTGAGTTTGAAAAGTGTATTTTTGTCGATGATACATATGTACATGAACATGTATTCAGAGTCATGAGTCCTCTCTCTCTATCTCTTTGCCTTTCTCATGGGAGAAAGATTATTAAGTAGCCACCCAGTTGGTGTTGTGCCACGTGTGCAGTGTGCACTTCTGGCGGTCAATTTGCTGGTGGTACAGCGGGACATATTTACTTTAGTTTAATAAGGACTGTACAACTCAGACAGTTGGTGGATGGCGGTGTAAAGGCGTAAATATTATGCTTATATAAAAGCGTTCCATTTCATACATTAGCAAAACCTGACGGTGTGCGAGGCTGGCGGTACAACGGGGGGGGGGGGGGGGGGGGGGCAGTACAACAAGATTTGAATGTCTCTTTTTGAATCCCCCAAACATATTGTTTAATTATATTCTTATTGTTGAAAATCAAGTGATTAAGAAGATATATTTTTGTTTTAGTTTTGTGCTTACTTTTTTAATCTGCTATTGCCTTAGACTAGATCAACTGTGTTTTTATTTATCACCTGTCTTATACGAGTCAAAAGGTTACAATTTTCTTTTGAAGAAAGGCTCTGAAAAAGGAATGGTAAAGTATTCTCACTTTGATGGTGTCAGAGTATGTGTGAAAATAATATGTATCTGGAGAACTACAAAAAAGATTTGACTCTAGGTCTCTATTGTTCCTCTATGCATTTGAAATATACTCCTAAAATATCTCAATTCTTGTCATGGGTACATTTTGAATTAATTTTTTTCCTTAAGTTGATTTATCCCTATCACCAGGACTGACATCTATGTGGCAGTAGACTTCCAACTGCCTGTTATAAACGGGTCACTGGGTGCCTTTGTGGCTGCACGAGTGGACCAGGGAGGTTGTGAGGCCTTCTCAGCTCAGGGAATCTTCTTGTTTGCCTTCCCGGATAGGTACATCGTGGCTAATGACTTGGGTAAGATTGACAACTATCGATACTTTTCTTTTGAAGAAACCATTGTTTAAGGTCAGGTAATAAAGGAAGATTTTTACTTCTTCTGCATATTTTGACACAATGAATGCCATTAATGATACATTTTTAAAAGTAATACTTTGATTGCAAGACGCAGATTCATATGGCAAAGCTATTGAGCCGGGTATTGCGAAGATAAAAGATGTATTGCGAAGATAAAAGATTTATTTCGCGCCCATTTTGGAGACAAATAGAAGTAGAGACACATCACTCGATGCAGGTGAAGATTGGGGTCAGGCGTCCGGTGAAAGTTTCATGCCATACAACTATAGTCTATTTCTCTCAACTGATGAATCACCGTATTGTTTTCATAGTAAATTAAGTAAGGGGATTGGTCTGAATTGGTTTTAAACACCATTTCTCTTTCTTTACCGTCACGTCATACCAACATCAACACATGAAAACTGTAGTCAGAACATTCTAGTCAAGATTTAGATGAAAAATTAAAAACATACCGTACTTCAAAGTGGTGTAGTGCTATTGATTGTACCAATTTCAAAATTAACTGCCCTGATTTGGCCTTCTTTTCCTTCCCTCTAGATCCAGAAAGGTGAATTAATTTGATTGGCGTTGCATGGTTTGATTAGAAATCACTTGCCATTGTAACCACATGGTTCAAGATAGTTCTTAAGTATCGGCTATTTTAATTTTACATAACCTGCTCTCGCTATTTTTAACGACGATGATTATAAAACAATAGACTAGACGAAAGAAGGTTGTGGCTTTATGTTGGTAATCGCTATGATGATGGAGCATCAGGTTCATGATGAGGTAATGATGAAGATGTGGATGATGGTGGTGATTGTGGTAGTGTCCCTCCCTGAAAATGGCTTTATAAAGTTAAATGTTGGTGATGATGATGGTGATTGTTATAAAGACAATTTAATACATTTGTGGTTATAACAAGGGTGATGATGATGATAAATATTAATGATGATAAACAGGTATTATTATTATTATTATTATTATTATTATTATTATTACTGTTAAAGTTTCAATCAATACTGTATGTTTCCTCTCGGTCAGTAGGCTATAATTATTGGCCTGTCTGTTGGTCACGTCCCCTCTCCTTATCCTGGCCTGCTTCTCATTGCATTAGTGCACACAATATGCTAAATCTTTTCTTTCTATTCTTCTACTTCTTCTTCATTTTCTTCTTGTTCTTGTTTTTGTTCTTGTTCTTTTTTTGTTCTTCTTCTTCTTCCTTCCCTGGAGCATAAATTTGATGAATTGATTAATTATGCACGCATTTATTGATCAACTTCATCACATACCACAACTTCCGACGTATTAATCTAGATGACTCCTCGCTCCTCCCTCTGTCCCCGGTATTAACTATAGGAAATAATAAGGGGAAGTGACTTTGAGAGAAATGGACCATGAAATGTACGTCGTGAAACAGTTTCGAGGCACTGGGTCACCAATCTCGCGCAAATAACATGTGTGAAGGAGGCCAGCAGACGAGTGAAATATCTCTCACTAGTCATCTCCGCTCATTTTTGTACAAAGGGGCATCATTGTACATATGTACATGCTTTACAGAAAAATCATGCCTTCCATTTCTAAAAAGACACAAATTATGGATTTTTGCTTATAGTGGTAGGAAATGAGGGAGAGAGGAGGACAAAGTGTTTTTGTCAAGGTTTCCAATAAACTTGTTTTGTTGTTTTTTTACTCTGCCCAGTTCGATCATCTGGCACTTTTGTGTTTAGTAATTACAAAACACTGTCCTGCATTTTGGGTTTTGAAATTAGCTGTTAGTCTTAGAGTAAACAAACCGGAAAATGTTTTACATATAGATAAATAAATTAGTAAATAAGTAAATACATGTTTTCTTCACTCTTATAAAGTTTTTTGGTAAGTTACACATCTAAGTGTTGCCATACCCCCAACTGGAGATGGCTATCCAATATATTTGTTGATTTTACCTCTTAAATATTAGACAACAAAAAGCTTCGTTTCAATTTTTTATTTTTTTTTAGCTCGGACAAAAACCCTCAAGGAGGGATATCTGGCTTTCGAGGCAGGAGAGTGGCACAGACTGGGCCTGCTGGTTCAGGTAAACTAATTAAGTTATACTGTACAGTGCTTTGTATCTCAATCAGAAACATAGTTAGACCATAGCAATTTTGTTATCTTGACAGAGAAGCTACCTGTTGAAGTTGAAATGGATGTCAGAATGGTTTAATATGACTGTATGCCCTTGTTGATACAATTAAGGTCATTATGGAGGAGTGCTATAATCCTGGCCATTTCAGAGGACTGCTTTATTCCTGGCCATTACTACCTCCCCTGGCTGTGGCATACAACAGTCCAGCAGAAAGACTAATGCTGGCCACACACGACACAACGTCCTTGGGATCTGTGATCCTTGAGTTTTGTTACGAGGCTGGTTGAGACGACCTGGGCCAAGTGCACACACTCAGCACAGGCCAGGACTGTGCAAACCCAATGCTTTCCATCATGGCGACCAACCAGGCTAAAAGTCTTAGTTCTAACAATAGGTCTTTATTTGAAAAAGAAGTAAATGAGGCTCTGGTTTGAGTAAAGGTTCAAACACACCCACACATCAACTTGCTTTGGGACTTACAACGTACTTACTTTTTACTTTTTCCTTCCTCTGGTATCCTTAGAATGTCGAGGGGAGGTGTAAGTTTCGGTCCTGTGCTAGGTGTGTAGCAGCTGTGATAGATATATGTTTCAGGACCTTTTTAACCCTATCCAGCCGCGTCTTTCTTGGTCTTCCTCTTGATCTGAACTGTCCCCGTCGGATTATGCGAATGTGAGTTTTTTCGCATAATTCTGCAACATTTGCATAATTTTGGATTCCCGCGTTTTTTCAGTTTTTTGCTAGTTGTTTCTGGGGCATTCTGGTTAGATGTCCAAACCATTTGACTCTTTGACGCTCTATGAATTTTATTACTGGTGGTATTCTAGTTTGTAGACGTACGCTTTCGTTTTTTATCTGGTCTCTTCTTGTGACGTTGATGGTTTTGCGGAGACACCTGATTTCGCATTCATTGATTTCTTTCTTGTACCATGTTTAGAGACTATGTTTGGCACTGGTATGTTAATGTTGGTATGAAGATGCTATTGATGAGCTGGGATTTTACTTCGGTTGGGATGTTCTTGTGACTGAACAGGGGTGCTAGCTGGTAAGTCACTGCATTGGCCTTCATAGTTCTTGTTTCTATTTCTTTGTCCATACGCCCATCTTGTGTGAAGATGCTTCCCAAATATTTAAATTCCTCTACTTGTTGGAGCTGTGTTCCATCAATAAAAATGTTGAGTACCCCTGAGTTTCTGCTGACCTTCATAACTTCTGTTTTTGAGATTTCATGTTCAGGTGTTTACATTCCTCATTTAGTTTTGTGGTGTGTTTTTGTAATTCCTCTTCATCTGTATTTAATACTCTGGTCATCAGCAAATAGAAGCTTGTTCAGTTCAGTGACATTGTCATTTGCTGCTTTCATTATCTTATCCATATAAGTAGGCTATATAAGTGGTGAAGAGAAGCGGAGAGAGAACACACCCTTGTCTCACCCCAGACCTGATGGGGAACCAGTCCGATAGTCCTTCTGTTGATCTTGGCACACAGGCTGTTTTTATAAAGTAAATAAAGTGCAGTGATGTTCTCCTGCAATTGTCCTCTTTCACCATATTCCTCCAAGACTTCCCAAAGTTGACTTCTATCTACCCGGTCAAACGCCTTTTCTTGATCCACAAAGACGACATTGACGTCTTTGTCATTTGCAATGGATATCTCACACAACTGTCTTAATGCAAAAATAGCGTCAGTAGAGCCCATGCCTTATCTGGAGCCAAACTGGGATTCACTGACTTGAATCTCTTTGTGAATTGGTGCATTATTCTTCAGACTACCTTATTTTTGTAATGACACTGTTCTCCTCGGAATTTGCTTCAACGTTTTTCACAAAATTAACAAACTCCTCATATGCTTTGTCCTTGAGTTGTCTGTTACTGTACTCTTTGCATTTCATTTTCCAAAGGCATTGATGGTTTTTGTTATATACAAAAAGTCCAAAACATTGTCTCTTGACCACGTTGCCATTTTCTTTCATTAAAACACCTGCTCAGCACACTGACCCCATGGAAATTTCAAGCGAGGACAGAATTCAGATGCACCTTGTTCAGTCCTCGCACTGACTGGGGATTTGTTTTAATTTCGGCCTGAGCCTATTTGAAGTCCGTGCAGTCCAACTGAGGTCGGTCGGGCCTCAAGGATCGCCTGTGTCGAGTGTAGCCTACGCAAAATACTCAATGAAATATCTTTTCCATTTGAGAATCAGTAAAGGGGTAGGCAATGTGGAGTCTGGAGTGAAGTCTCAGAGAATGATATACAGAAAAGTGGAAAGACATGGAATAAATGTATAGAAGCAAACCCAGGATAAGAAAAAGCAGACAGTGTTTATTTATGGTCTATACCCTGATCTAGGGTGAGAGAGGCAATGTGGATGATGATCTGGGAATCAAATTCACAACTTCTGCAAGTTCAAATAGTTTTAGGCCTTTTTGAAAAATATTTATGTCGAGATATTGGCCATCTGTAGTCTACTCATTGTATCAGCATCAGTTGTTATAATATATTGTGCGTAGTTTTCATGTAACATTTAGGTTAGAAAAATAGTCTTGCACATTTTGTTTAGTATGATAGTTTGTCAGGAATTATTTTATGCAGTTACTTGGAGGAAGCTGCATAGAATGATTTGCTAACAAAATTTGCCCAGGTCCTCTTTTTGTGCCACTTTTCATCAGTCCAGCAGCATGTTCCTCAAGGCTTGTCAATTTTTTTGTAATTATCAAACACTGTATTTTATTCCGGATGTGTCCACACACAAATTAGAGTTCTGTATGGAGCATGATAGAATCATGAGTGAAAGTTACTCAATTTAGGAGTAATGGAATTATTGATGAGTTGCTAAATGGAGATATGATGTGTAAAATGAGTATTTGACCAAAGTCTTACTAGATCTCTAGATCTATTTATGAAAGCCAAAGGCCATTCAAAACAGACTAGATCTACACTCACAAAATGTTGCTTTCTTTTTCATATTGCCTGGGGATAAGAAAAAGTACATTTTATATTTAAAAATATTCCATCTGGGTCAATTAAAAACAAACTTCAGTTCATTTTTTGTCTTTGAACTTGTTTTTCTCTCTGTGCTCAAACATTTGCTTGATTATTTCTCTCATCAGGATGGCAACGTTCAGGGAAGCTTTGATAATAAAATTCTGTTCAACATGACTGTCCCAGTCGTGCCCATTAGTGGATTTGCTGCTATCGGCACAGACTCATTTGGACTTGCAGATTTCGATAACCTACAGCTGACTGGACCTTCTGAAGGGCACAAGATAATGTCGAAGCATTTACTCTCTAAGTCTTTGTACTTTGAGAAAGAGCATCACTAATGGGCTTCAGTAACCACATCCTGTGGTTTATATCATACAGAGTGCACTTCCTTACCAACAGCTTTTACTTTCATTTATGGACATGCAGCTCAATAAGCTGAGAGGGTGTTTTGCTTCATTTTAAGGTAGAGAGAGAGAGAGAGAGAGAGAGAGAGAGAGAGAGAGAGAGAGAGAGAGAGAGTATTTTATTTTTTTTACAAAATTCTTATTTGTTCCCAAGTTCTAAGTCTTGCACTCAACAACAGTGCTGAAGAAGGAGGAGGCAGCACAGCTCATGCTGCTACATTATTGACCCGTTTACAAAAAAAAATACACTCAAATGAGAAATGCTGAGGAGAAATGCGTGATTTGAGAATGTGGTGAATGGGAGCCAAAATACAACTTTAGATGTTAAAATGTTTAACAAATGATTTTTCATTATTCACAAAATTTACTTTGAAAATACTGTACCTCAAGTTTTTGGAACTGATTTGTGCATTTTGAGATGAAAAGTAGATGCCATTATCTCCAAACCTGTGCACCTCTTTACAGCAGGGTATATTGCCAATATTGGTGTATTAACTCTCCCTCAGTCTCATTTTCATACCACCACTGAATGCCCACCGTGACGAAACCTCTTTTACTTTCAACTGTCAATGCTGAGAAAGCATAGTCTTCATCATGCGCAGTTAATCATTGTATGACTGGCGCTCATATGACCTTATGCAGTTGCGAGCGCCGTAAAACCTCTACTAAAACTCATTGTATGAAGGTATCCACTAGGCAGAGGAAATACTCCTGCTTTAGATCCTGGGAGGTTTGAAATTCAGTCTCTCTTTCTTTGAGCACTGTTTTAAAGGCTTTGTATTATTGAGCATAATTGGTCACATCTCTGAAAAGACATAATTAATAAAGTAAAGGGGGTGATTCTTTCTCTTTAAAATTTGAATCCTCAAATCAAAGGCCCAAAAAAGGATTAGTAGATCTATGTGTTAGCACTGGTATTGGTATAGAACGTGAAGAGGTGCCACAGTAGACACTGGTTTTGTATGATTCTGTTTCAGACTATGATTCACTGAGAATTATTATTATTATAAATTATCACTAAAGCAGATGGACGTCGCTCCCTTACCAGTCCACTATCTCTATTCCCGACCTGACACCCCCCCCCTCCCTACCCTATATATGGACATATGTGGAAAAAGCTTCTCTCAATTCACTACTAGATATGAATGTAATGTGTTCATAGAGATTTGAGTTACGTGAAGAGTGAACATCCCTCAGTTTTGCTCATGGATTGCAATATTTCTTTTGGAAAATAATAAAAGACAATGACTTTCTTAGCAATCTGTCCATATTATAGCATTTTAAATACAAATATGATTCATTAACATATGTACACATTCAAGATCTCAAGCAATTATACTATTGTAGTAAGCTTTTAAGTACTGATTTCAGTACACATTTTAAATTTTGTTCTTATTTTTATTGACATTGTTGTTCAAACTAAACACAATGTAAGTTTGTTTCAAATGCTATTTGGTCAGGGCAATGTTTTGCATGAAAATGAAGTGCTCAAAGCTTGAAAGAAGCAAGTTTGTCTTGTGTGTTCAGAATGTTAAACAGTGCTTATGAAAGATTATTTTTTTTTACAGTGGAAACCATATATAACGGGCCCAGTAATAACAGGGATCCAGTAACAACAGGAATTTTTTTAATCCCCGTTTTTTCCTACTCTTTGTCTCTATTAAAAAGTTATCGGCAATAACAGGGCCTCATCGGAGCCCAATCGGTTATAGCAAGGACAAAGGCTCGTTAACAATGTGTAAGAGAGAGACAGAGTAATGCAGGGATGGAGCAAGCCACACCACTGCAAGCACATGCAGTGTGTGAAGCGAGAGAGGGCTGCAGTGCTGCAGACTTCGACCTAGCCCTAAGCCTAGCTACACGCACGCGTAATGTGTCATGCGCAGGGTACCGTACTTGTGGTAAGGGAAACTACCCATAAATAAATACCGCTGGATTAGTCCACAAATGCTTACTTCCCTTGCATTTCTGATTTATCAGGGATCTGATATAACAGGACCTTTTCCCTGGTCCCATCATCCCTGTTATATCAGGTTTCCACTGTATTTCAAAACACCTATTATTATTTTATGCCTTTGAGAGAATCTAATAAATTTTATGCATTTTGAACTCTAAACCTTTGAGTTGTCAATCAAGTATCCGAGTCGGATAAAAATTCTGTTATCTTAGTGCATCGTACATAACTTTTAGTTTGTGCTTTTCATCTAAATAGAGCAACAGTTAATGTGGTCAAAGTAAAACTTATTCTGATTTCCAAATCGTTTTTTGAGACCACCTGACTATTGCTACACTTCTACCATTGTAACAAGATATACACATCAGCTGTTACTGTTCAAAAACAACTTTCACACACCTCAGTTCTCATGTCAGCTGTGTATTTTATACTGTGTTACATGCTGTAACAAAATCGTGAAGGTTCTTGAAGAATACTAGCGGGGTTTACTTAGGTACTTAAATAGTGTTCTGACAAATGAAATCTAAATAAAATGGTGTGACATTATGACTCAGTTTTCAAAATGTCTTCTATGTATGCATAACAAGGTTTATGTGAAGCCATCATGTCCTCATCAAAAGTATCAATGCTGGCAGCAGTGGGGCAGAGGGTTATTTACTTGATCCAGCACGTTGGAAGTATTAGGTTCAAATCCAAGTTGAAAAACAAAAATTATTTCCCCATCCTTCCCCAAATATTTTCCTTCAGTTCAGTGTTCAGATGGAGGACCTTTGATTATTTGAATAGACTGATAGCCTCTGGTGGGCTGTTTAAGTTCAACAACAAAAATTTCTTTGATATCTTTATACAGTGCCACTTAATGTTGATGGAGTAGAGGACAGATCGATGCGAATAAGCCAGAAGCGGGGATTGGTCTTACTCAAGCAGTATATGAGACAAGATTTATAGCTATCCCTATGTCTGGGGTTTGCTATTCTAGAGCATAGACACAATCAGGCCCATAAGATAATCGAGTTATCTAGACATTACATTGAAGTCATTCCTACAGAGCGACTTCTGAGTAGCAGTGGCAGTACAGTTTTCTTCTTTTTTCTTTTTAAATGACACTCTTTTTAAAACTGGCATTAGATTTATTTTTTAAGGAGGATATATATTTATTACAATTTGTATAGTGTGCTCAGAATCTGGCATTAAATTTATTTCCATGAAGAATATATATTTCTAACAATAGTCATCACAAAAATGGCGTCCCATAATATGACTCTTTAAAGCAAAGTTGCAACATACTCTACTGGGGACACATGGACCTTCAAAAAAAATTTTTTCGGTATGCGTTTTACGGCGCTCTCAATTGCATAAGGTCATAATGAGTTATATGAGCGCGCGGAACACAATAAACATTTTCAGTTGCTAAGAAATTTTGAATTTTGCCCAAGTGGCGGCTGAAGCCTACTTTCATCAATTTTGGACCATCAAGGGATCGTTAATGAGCGCAACTTGCAAACAGGACCTCTGAGATTTTTCGCCCTTTTCAGAGAAGGCTAGATGTAGATCTTTCCTACCAGAAGATCAGGGGTGGGGCTGAAAGACAGCAGTAAGAAGGAGCCAAGGAGAATCAGTAGAAAAGCTGTAGAAGAGTCAGGGGCCCAGAGGAGGTGAGGGGGGTGGGGGTAGAGAGAGGAGACGAAAGCAGACGACAGAACATTGCTAGAGAACAGGAAAGGAGGTGAAAGGAGACAATTTAGAGAAGAAAAATTTACTTCGCTATCCGGATTTGAACCTGCGACCTATTGAAAGAGAGGCGAACATCTTAACCTCTAGGCCATGAGAGCCCCCTCAAAATATTTACCAGAAACAAACTGACATAGTAGAAATTTGGGTCCCATTAAAATTAAACATTTTTACATAAACTAAGACATACTCCATAAATGAAAGTTTTATGTTTTATTCAATGATGTGTAACATATGAAAGGACAGTCAACAGATCCAGACTTCATATTTCACCTATGAGATGTCACTGGTAAGCATTGGCTTTGTGTTTAGGCAGAAACTTGAATGTAGGAGGCACAGGACCAAGCAACATTTCCCTGGGGAAAGAAAATCAAAAATAAATGTCAGTGCCAGTCTACTGCGATGCTTTACAGTAGTCTCCGCCTAAATGCACGGCATACAAAAGCACGCTCCCCTCAAACGCACGCTTTCTGCGATATAATTTAGACGTACAAACACACGGTCACTCCCTCTAACCGCACGCTCCGATCCGCGAAATATGCCGACATGTTAAGCTTGACAAGGGGAAGTTTTCACTACAATCTGCACAGCTTGCATAAGACAAGCCTAGAAAAACCGCATATTTGGTGAGAGTGCCCCTCATGCCGAACAAAGAGTGATGGACAGCGTTTCACACCCAACTTTCCACAGGCACATAGGTCTAGGGCTGGTCAATGAAATGTTGGGGGAGGGGGGGGCTAAAATGGGTTTTTTTATTGGTCACTGGAAATGCATCTTTGAGAGAAGGTGTCTGACTGGTGTTTGGGTGACTGCATGTAATGTTTAGTTTGAACTAGGCCTGATGTGCAACACGCGTGAATGCTGTAAAACACAAGACAGGCCTCTATAGGATTTAAGATTAGCCAAGTAAGCCTAATCAGCTGCGCTCGAAGAACTTATAACGTACTTGTTCAATGAATAACAAGAGAAATGTTTCTCCGAATGTAGAGATTTATGATTCTGATGTCGTCCATGAAATTATGGCCGGGGTTGGTCGCATGGAAAACCACGTGGCTGGGCCGTCGTCTCCATGACTATGATTATCACAAAGTTTCTTCTTAGGCAATCTGTTCCCGGCGTTTTATAGTGCATATTCAAAACACTGAGTCTGTCTCCCATTCAACGCCTTGTATTCTAGTTAACTAAACAACTTCCCTCTATGTTTAATACTCTTGAAAACTCATTTACCTCAACACAAGTCTCACACATTTTAAGATTTAAACTAAATAAATAAAAATCAAGACAAAGCCCCCAACCATGCATTAAATCCTGCTTTGAAAAACAGCAGTTGTTGAACGGCTCTTAAAATACAAATGAATAATAGAGCTTACGTAAATTTACAGAGCATCAGGAGATCCTTATTATACATTAGACAGCAATGTAAAAAACAGCCCCAACCGTTTAGTCTGTTATCATGAAACATTAAGAACAGACATCTTTGGAAATAAAAAATAAAAAAACAAAAACAAGAAAAAAGATCTATGGCAATATGGTAAATGATTTTAGTCCTCCTTGTCCAGTACCTTGTAATTGATGGAATAGAATCACGGCATAATTTTACTATATAAAGCAGGCTAAAGAAACCTAGTGAACCAGAGCACTGACTAAACTCAAGGCTGCAAAAAGCCCTACAACTCACGTTATCTTGATCCAGTCTGCACAGTTAGCACTGGCCATAAGAGTCTCCAAGTCATTCCGCCCAACGTAATAAGGAGGTCTTTCATTGATGCGTTGTGGAAGCTGCTCTAGAACTCCAACAGGAATATATCTGCACACAAAACATTTACACCCTACTTAGGATATAAAAAATAAACAAGACATTCTAAACTTGCTATTAAATTGTGTTGAGCATATCCAACCAGGAAGAACTGAAAGAGACTACACACATTTTGGCTTATGCTTATGTTAACTTACTCAATCACTGCTGCAATTCACTGCAAGCATATGCTTCACGCATGCACTAACGCACAGAGCGCATTCATAAACATCACTGAACAAGCTTTTCGGGGGGAATCTTGGCTTGCAGACTACACAAACCATTTTTAAAACCCAAAGCAATCAGTCCTGGGGATGTGCTCAACCACATATGAAAATGTTATCATATCTTGCACATACAAAAAGACAAATCAGTGAAGGTTTGCACAATTTTAACAGGAAAACTGCACAAAGCAAGTTATCTGCAAGCCTGCAAAATCATGTTTGTTAAAATTCTGGATCTTTTATAAGTTGTATGTAAACCATCAACTGCAATTTTTTTTTTATTAAAGCAAAGAGGAAACAAGAAAATTACAGCATATTTTCTTTTCTCACCCCTGTAAGACTACACTTTAACAAACAAAAGACAGATTAATTAAAACCAAAGCCCATCACACTCAAAGAGAAAATAAACTAACCCAAAAGAAAACAGCATACAAAGTAAACATTCAGTTAAAAAAGATCACAGAAGAGGGAAATTTCCTGATTTTATTTACTGGCACCAGCTCACACTTTGTCCCCCCCCTTCCCCCAACCACTTGCAAATAATTTTGCACAGAGACAAAATTCTATGGCTGTTATCTTACATGATCAACAATCAAATTACTGGCATAAACTTCATCCCTAAAGAAAGCCCAGCGGAACATCACAAGACAGTCTTTGCAGTGGAACCCACAGGGAGCATGAGGCAGGGGTAGGCCAAGGGAAACATGGAGATGTGTGGAAAGGACATGAGAGAGATGAAGTTCACTTGAAACGAGCTTGGAAGGATGGCCCAGGACAGAGATAAATGGAAGGAGCTTATAATATGTGGCCTATACCCTGCCAGGGGTGAAAGGCATTGGTGATGATGATGCTGATGATGATGATGATAAACTTCATCAGACTCACTGACATTCACTTAAAACCTCAACCCCTCATTTTAAAACATTTTACTAGTAATAGCGAGTACTGACTAAGGTTAACTTAAGTCACTTCTGGATATTTCATACAACACTCAGTAAATTAGCTCCACTTCAGTATCACTTTCATGAAACTTAAAAAAAAAAAAAGAAACTTGGGTGACCAGATTCACGCATGGGAGAACGGAGTCTTATACCTATGAAGAAAAGAGAGCCACTCCAAGAGGAACCGCCTGGTGTTCTCCACCCCCTGGTGGTCAGAGCCCCAGTGCTCCATGCCATAGTTGGTGTAGGTCTTGAGCAGGTCAAACCTCTCACTGGACGAGATGTCCCAGTGCCTCTGCTCCTTGATCTCTGTGAAGATCCACGGCTTGATCAAAGCCCCCCTGAGGGATTGGAGGCAGGACATATGTTTAAATATCATGACAGTCATTTGACTTTACAAGACATCTCAGAAGGTGAGGAAAATCTTTGTGAAACTTTCATAAACGTGTAAAAAATCCAAGAATGGCCTTACAGTTACAGATGTACATAAAACTAGTGTGTTTTTTTAATACAGTCGAACCAGCCCTGACGGCCACTTTCCATTTCCCCCCTTGTGTTTTTTCTCTCTATATATAATTTAACTGTGTAAAACGGGCACCTGTCCAACACGGCCGCGGCCACCATATTTTAACACACAACCCCTATCACACGAAACAATAACACCTGTCTTAGACGCCCACCTTAGTGACTCCATTACGTTTTGTCATAAATTGTGCATTGGCCCCTGGCGTTGTGGGCGAGCCGTCATAATTCAATCACCTGCCGTTGCTGTTAGGTAGTCCCTCAAACCGATCATGTTGCGAAGGCCCCTCCCACTGTTGACCAATAGCTACCAATTTTCAGCTGCTGGAGAGGTAAGCGTGTGATCCCTCATAAACCATAAGCCCCGCCCAGAACTCATACACAAATCGTAAGTGAGATGTGTTTGTTTTAACATGGCACTCGGTCTTCCTCGTCTGAAACATTTCATTTTATTGTTACCCTTGTTCAAAATCAGCAACAGAAAAAAAATTACAAACAAAACACAAACCACCACCAACAACAACAACAAAAACAGCAACAATGCTGCTACTTTCGATTGGGACCTCAGATGGGAAACGTTTGTTTTCTTCATCTTGATCAGTCCTGCCTAAGACGGCCACCTGTCTTGCACAGCCATTTTTCTCCTTGACAAAGGGTGGCCGTCTTACACAGGTTTGACTGTATTTGTTTATTCAGTGCGATATTACACGCCAGTGAACATAGTAAAATCAAATAAATCAAGGCTTTTATTCTTACACTCATAAAACAAATAACTATTCAAGGATGCGATCCTATAAAACAAATCAAGGTTTTTTTTCTGTCAGCTTTCGATTCACCTTGCAAGCAAACAATTTACTGCCATTTTGAATCAATCTTTCACCCTATGCAATGAATCAATGACACAAACCAAAAGCTTACCTTGCAATCATGATGCCACTGACGCCATGGGTCTCCATGTGAAGATTTGCATCCTCAAATGACAAAACATCTCCATTACCTGAAAAAAACCAGAAGAATATTGCCCATTAGGACATTCTAAAAACACGCCCTTGTGTGTGAAATGAACATGTCAGGACTGAAATTCTAGATATTTTGGAGCTCCACGTAAAATCGAGAAATAAAACATCAGTAAGCCTTAATTATCATTTTATGATCTCATTTGACCTTAATTTGGTGATTTTTCCTTTAAAGAGAAGAAAAAAACCCCATCAAAGTAAGAAATAAAAAAAATCAGACCTCCCTTTCATAAAGGTGAACTTAAAAATGTTAATGCATAACAACAGGGAAAGACAAAGCTTGAGAGATGCAGATTGACAGCACACTACAACTGAGCCTTTTAACTGACTGCTATAACTTAAGTCACATCAAGCTCAGAAAGCAATCATACCAAAAACGGGCATAGGAGCCCCAGCAGTAGCACACTGAGTGATGTAGTCCCAGTCAGCTTGGCGGGTATACCTCTGCTCCCTTGACCTACCATGCACCTGGAACCAAAATCAATTCAACATTTGTTTACTTTTATGAAAACCCATTATTACTATGTGAAAGAAAATAAAAAGAACAGTAAAAGCTTGCCCATAAGCTTGCAACATAGAATAGAACGTCCAAAAAAATCTCACAAGCAAAACAAAATGGCACCTTCAATTAAAGAGAAGATCAGAAGAAGAGACAAGTGGTTTGTGTAGGCTAGAAAATAGACCAGAGTGAGCCAATTCATTAAATATATCTCGGAGAGCAGATAAACATGATCTTGTGGTACCATAATCAAAAACAAAAAGAGACGAGACAGGAAAAAAACTAGACACCTAACAAAAATATGCGAAGTACTTGTACCAGTGAGTTATTGAACTCTCAAGAATCTTAATAGCTGTTTTTCCAGTGGAAAAATGGTTCAATATTGCTGACAGAATTAAGAGGGGAAACTTTATCAACAGAACGAGAAGACTGGGTGTAGAAGTAAACTTTAACTTTTCTTCATAAGTCAAGATTTCCGGTATGTATCGCATGCAAAAGAAACAATACCAGAAAAGCAAACAGACATACCCATGAAAGCCCTCTGATCCCTATGATTTCGTGGAAGTAAAAAAATAAGTTTTGTCTTTAAATTGTATTATAAGATAAATCTGGTCCTTTTTTAAATGCTCACATTTTTTTAAATTTCAATTTTCTTCAACCACCACATCTGGACCAATTTGTTCAGTGTTTAACACACAGTAGTTGCATGAATCTGCATTCTGTCCTGACTGAAATCGAGTCATGTTTTCATGAAACCCATCATTAAATTCCTTATGTCTCTACACACAATGGACTAACAAAAAAAGACGTTTTGCCCCCCCTAAAAAAATATAAAAACAAAAGCACGAAGTGTCCAACTTACCGTGACAAGGGACACTCCTGCGTCGCGCAGCCTGGGTATGATGTTGTGTGCTATGTTCTTGTTGTCAAAGACACCGGTACGAAGCTTGACTGTCAAAGGTGTGTTGCCCATCACCCCCATCATACTGCGACAGATCTGCTCCAACTTCGTGGCCTTTCCCATCAAAGCACTTCCACTTCCCTGAATTAGATAGAAACATCATATTATTTAACATTCTACATTTTTTCTGTAAAGACAAAAAATAATTATTCAAACTTTCAAGACCAATATCAAAATGCATTTTTCCCCATTCTTTATTTCTAACAGCAAACAATCCAACATTATTCACTCAGATCTCCAAATTGAATTTAAGTAACTTTGAATTTATCAACATAATTTTAATAACACAAATAGATAACAATCTGCAAGTAACAAATAATTCAAATTCGGCAAACCAAAACAAGAGCCAGATTTCACAGGAGAAACTGAACAATTGAAGAAAAGGAAACTAATAAAAAGATGTCACAATCTGAGTTCTTAAATACGAAACAAACAAGGATTGAAACCGAGAAATTGGCTTTACATATGTTCACAAAAATAGTTGCCAGCAAAAGTACAAATCAGAAACATTTCCCTCACTTTTTTGAAGATGAGCTCAATGGGGCAACCACAGTTGATGTCAATAAAATCCAAGTCGCAGGTTTCCGTCAGCAATTGAGCACAGCGGGTCATCGTATCAGGGTAGCCACCACAGATCTATGAGAACCAAAGAATGAACAGACACATCATGTCACACTAGTTTCAATAGACAGCAACAAGCAACTTCCCATACTCCATACAAACTTCATATTTTGGCATCAAAATTATCCCCAAACATTGATAAACAATAACTTAACATATATGTTTGCTATTACAAAGCTCATACATTCTACCTATATGCAAAACAATGAGTTTGTACAAAACTACCCTCACACAGTGGTTATTAGTGACTGTTGCAAAGACCGTTTACATGACTTGGAGATGGGAGCTCCGCGATTGTCATATTACCGGAGAGCGGAAGAGGACAAGCAATTTTGTGATAAGTCATTCTTTGACAAACTTGACGAAACTGCTTTCCCATTACTACAGACTAAGTACAGGCAAAATCTATCTTAACTATCACTTTCAAAGCATCAGAGGCCTTTATAGAGAGTACCAAAGAAAACGTAAAGAGTCACGTCGGCCCAGACATCTTTCGGAGAGATGTTAAAAATGAGTAACCTCTTGGTGTATGTGTTGGAAGGATAGATGTGATGTATGCAATGTAGGAGAAAAAATCTAACATGAAGCTTGCACAAAACCCAGTTGATGGGACCAGATTATGTCTAGTGTGCACGGACTTGGAAGCGGATTTATTGTTAGTACGGCGTTGAACGCATCGGCTGCACTATAACATAACAGGACAAAATTAGCTGTCTATATTTTTTTTAATTTGGCAACCAAAAATGTGAAGTGTCCCATTTGGCACGGAGGAGAAGGACTATTGATTGCCAATTAAATCTCTTCCTTTGTCAGACAATGTTCTCTTGAATGTTGTCTCGCATTTTCTTTTTCCTCTGCTCCACAGTAATCCAAGACATTGATGCCTTTAGAAAACTTCATATGTTCATCTTTACAAATGATCACTGTAATATTCTACAGGTTATTTTTTTCTATACACTAAAAAAAATTATCACTTTTACCTACCTTGTTTCATTCCCTGGTTGTAAACTAAGATAAAAGAAAATAATACTCATTTCTTCAAAATTTTGAAAACCCAGAGCAAGGGTCAAAAAAATTATAACATGCAAACCTGCATTCCAAAAATATCTTCACAAGGATGTCGCTTGAGCAGAGACCATTCAGACTGCTTAGCCTGCAGCAGTTGTGTGGCTAGTGCCATTTCCCCACAAGTGACCTCTGCACCAAGCCCTTTGCAAATTCGCCGGAAAGGCAAATTGCCCACCTGAATAAGACAAAAACAAACCCAATGAACATGTACATTCACAGCAAAAAACAGACATGTAACATAGGGAAGAGCAAAAATTTTCAGTAGTAAGAGTTTTACGGCACTTGCAACACAGTTAGGTCATAAAAGTGCCGAAGATTAGAGGTATTACAAGAGAGTAACAAACACAAAAGAAGGAGGGGAGATAAAGACAATAGATGTTTCAAAAGAAAGGAGAAGCAAACCACACCAGAGCACCCACCAACCACTAACAGAGCAAAAGTGAGACCAAGCAAAAGTGAGAACGGGAGTTCTCAAGAGCACAATTGTAAGCCGTGATGCCTTAACAGCCTGGTGGCAGGACTTTGTGAATATAACTAATAACTATTATTACAGCCTGCAGGCTCAGGTCTTCTACCTGATTTTAAATAGATGAAATTTGGGGTGGGGGAAGGTGGTTAAAATTAAAAGTAAATGACGACAATTAAAACAGTTTGGGACAGTACACAAACATAAAATCTTACGGTTGTTAGTGGAGCCAGGTACAGCTTGTTCTTTAAATCAATCTGAAATGCACACAAATTTGGATGAGGAGAGTAGAAAATCAAAATTGTCATTCACATACACAACAACAAATTGGACAAATTTTACACGTTTTGTCACAAGTGAGATATCCAATTCTCCAATAAACAGTAGAGCACACCTATAAAGAACTCTCTTGTAAAGAACTGATGGAAGTAAAGAACACATTTCTTTGCCCCATTTTTTTATCTTAGTTTCATTTATATTTTGACGCATTCAGCGAACCTATGATAACCAACTGACGGCTGTAACGAACCAAATTTCTTGCCCAACAAGTCTATTTCCTTCTTATTTTTGCAGAAGCAAAACAAAGAGCGGAGAACTAGAGAAACTATTTCGTAGTCAACAAGGGGGGGGGGGCCCAACTGTTTTATGTTCTTGGGGACATGCAAAAGTTTGTCATAAATGTAGGAGAAAGAGAGAAGCAGCAAACATTCATAACTTCCTTTTTTCCTTCTCTTGGGAAAAAATAAGTTACTGTAAAAGTACCTTCATGTCTACTATTCCCAGAGACCGAACAACGTAATTGTGACAGTACAGCTTGGGCTAGGTCGCGAATCTGACCAACCGCGTGGCACCAGGGACGGTAAACTCAAACAAACATGGCTGATTCTAAGAATACACACTGTAAGTGGTGTGCCACAATAAACTGCACTAATTAAAAAAACAGACGACCTGAATTAGCTTTTTTTCGCTTTCTTAAAGACCCTGAAAGGTAAATTAATTGGTGGATAAGTAGATCAAGCTTAAATAGCGTATTTTTCAGTGAAAATTTGTTTCAAAACATACACCTTTGTATTCATCATGAATGAAAGTGTGTGTTGTAACTTATGTTTTAAGTAGATCCAGATAGGAGATCTAGAATCTAGATATAGATGGATCTATTGTAAGTCTAGGTTTTAGATCTAGGCTTCCTCATATCTGGAGATAGTTTCTTTGGTTTGGATCTATCTAGATCTAATTCAGTGTTCATCTCCCAGTCAAGATCTAGAAAACAATGTATGCTATGTTTTTATATCTAGATTTCTAGATCAAGATATATCTAGATCTAATTCAGTGCTCATCTCCAAGTCTAGATCTACATTCTTTGGCACTTTTTCTTGTATACAAATGTCAGACTTCATTACAAAGTGAAGTGCTTTGCACGAGTTCACCAAAAGAAGCAGAGAAAGGCTGGAAAATTTCAACATTTGTAAAACAAAGCAAATTGGATCTAGCAGTACACTTGTATCAGGAAATATATATGGTGAGTTGTATATAAATCTCTTTTGCTCTTTCTTTCTCTCTCCATTTTTCTCTCGCTCGTTCTCTTTTCGTCTTCTTCCTTGTCGTTGTTGAATAATTTATGACGCTACTTGTATTTGATACAGTGGAAACCATATTATATAACAGGCCCTGTAATAACAGGGATTTCTTAAATCCCCGTTCTTTTCTACTCTTCGTCTCTATTAAAAGTTAGCGGCAATAACAGGGCCTCATGGGAGCCTAATCGGTTATAGCAGGGACAAAGGTTTGTTAACAATGGGTAAAAAGTAAGAGAGAGGGAGTAATGCAGTGTTGGAGCAAGCCCACGCAAGCCACGCCACTGCAAGCACATGCAGTGGGTTAAGCGACAAAGGGCTGCGGTGTGCTGCAGACTTTGATCTAGTCCTAAGCCTACCTGCATGTACGCGTAACGTGTCATGCGCAGGCCTGCCACATGGCCAAAACCGCTGTTCGTGTTCGCGGGTACTTGTGGCAAGGGAAACTACCCATAAATAAATACAGAGCTGGATTAGTCCACAAATGCTTACTTCCCTTGCATTTCTGATTCAACAGGGATCTGATATAACAGGACCTTTTCTCTGGTCCCACCATCCCTGTTTCAGGTTTCCACTGTATGTCAAACTTGTCTAGAATTTTACTGTTGTTATTGCTGCTCATAATCATTATATTGTCTCAACTGTCTCCCTCCCCCTTTCTCCATATTGATGATGTTGCTGCTGCTCTTGCTCCTGATGTTGTTCTCGTCCTCATTGTTATTATTATTCTCTCTCTCTCTCTCTTTATTTCTGTATTTATTCCTTTTTATTCTTCTTTTTCCAATTTTCTCATATTCTCCTCCTTCATACGTCCTTCCTAAACAGTCTGTCAAATTGAGGGGTTTACTCTGAGGCTCCAAAATTCCCCCCCCCCCCTCCACCAGAGACCTTATTAAGTCCTGACCCCCCCCCTCCAGAAAGTCAGAGCAAAAAGATATGCAACAACAAGCACAACCTCTTGGATTTTTATAAAAACTTGCAGAAACAAATTTTTTAATTATATATATATATATATATATATATATGTCTGTCTGTAATTGATTTATATTATAATATTCCTCTCAACAAGCATGAGTAAAAAGGAAGTACTAGTACTCTTTCGCAACCCCCCAAAATGTATGTGAACTGCATCTATTATTTATCGGCACTATTAATATCCGGTAAATATGCCCCCCCCCCACCGTTTTTTTATTTGGAACCTCAGAGTACACTACGAACAACTTGGTTTCGTTCACCCACATTAGAACAATAAGCAGGCCTAACGCGATTATGTTTACCGTCCCAATCTATAAATAGAACAGCTCTCTTCGCTTATGGTGCATGAAGCACTGGTTGTCACAGACAGCGCCACAAGCTGTATTGACTCATTTACATTGCTCGGTCTCTGCTATTCCCATTACTATGACGGAAAAGGACTAGGCGAGAAAAAGTTTGTGTGTGAGAGTGTTGACTGAAATAAAGAACTACTGATATAAAGAACTATTTTTACTGCCCAGGGTTGTTCTATATATCAGTGTTTCACTGTATGTCCTTTTGTTTCAAAAAAAGAACTACAGACTACCTCTATCTATTCAAATCTCAGTGATGCTAAATTACAATATTGTTGCAGAGACCTGGGAAATAAAAATAAATATATAGGAACAAGAAACCTGTGAAAACATCACACTTTCTCAGAGAAACAAAGTCCCTGTCTACTTACCTTTACTTTCTCCCTACTGTTCAAGGGAAACAACTCTTCATCCGTAATGTGACCAACTGTGCGCTTTTCACATTCAGAAGCAGTAGTTGTGACAGAAGCAGGCTTTTGGCTTTCTAACCTGTTCGACTCCAACTTACTGCTGTCTGGACTCTCAGCATTTTGTTCCTTGACACTTACAACTTCTGCACCTGAACAGTCTCCTGGATTTCTATTATCACAAGTGTTTGAAATAGATTTTTTATCTGTACTTGCACACAAATCTCCTGTGGGACCCGACTTTGGTCCAACTGTTTTCATATCATCTTTCCCAAAATTGCTTTTTCCACTCCCTTCTTCCTGCCCTCTGAAATCTCTCTGAACCTTTTTCACCATCTGATCTGCTTTGCTAAAATCATACTTCTTTTTCCACAGTTTTTGCCTAACATCCGACTCCAAAACATTTAAATGTTTTTCACTTTTTGTCTTCTCAAGCAGTTCTTCGTCAACAACATTTTGTAAATCTTCAGTTGTGTGATTTTTTGCAAATCGACAAGCGAGACTGTATTTGCAAAATCCAAAATTTTCAAAATTATAGCAGGGTCCTTCAAGGTCTGGCAGCTTGTTGGCCATAAAATCTTCCTTACTGTGGTTAAATTTACATTTATCTCCAAAACTACACTCTCTTTCATCCTTAATGGCTGGACAGAGACGGTCCTTTTGTTTTACTCTGTCATTTCCAGGCCGCTGTTTGTTCCTGCCTTTCAGTTTTGCCACTTTGTTTGGTGGCTGCCCTTCTGGAGCCAGCTCTGATGCCGAACGTTTCCCAGATGACTCGTCTTTGTCTGGACCTTGTTCATCTTTCTTCTTGTTGTCCAGATCAAGCTGTTCTTTGACCTGAGCACTCAGGTACTTGGTTTGAAGTTTGGGCTTGTAATCTAATAAAAGAAATCTGGAACATCAAGACATATGAAAAGTTAATAACAGTAGTAATATGTTGATTAAAAGAACAGTTTACCTCTCAGTCACAATCTTATATTATAGAGGACTTCAACTCTTGCAATGTCAAGGTGTAACACAAAAAGCATAACTTTCAATTTTTTTAAAAATCAACACATTACACACAAATTTCCCATAATCTTTTTAATGTCCGCAGAGAAAACAAAATAGACACCATGTATCTGAAAATCTGTGCAACTAAGTTCATAAAGCAAGTGCATTGCAAATATAGATATATTATATATCGTCGCCTGAATCATGTACTATCATAAGCGGCAAAAAAAAAAAGGGGTTTCGAGCTACAGTGGTTTAAAGTTTTGCGCAATTTTTCAAATCTTGTTGTGAATGAACGGAACATAATATCTTATTGATTTTTGGTTTGTATATAGACTTTATGTCATATTTTCTGTCACTGTTTCAGAAAATCAATTTCTTTGCTTGCTTAGCGAAAAATAACCATTTTTGTCACTTACGTTAATACGTGAAGGCAAAGTATGTAGCAGTACAGTTCCTAACGCTACACAATATGGCGCTTACGATAGTTCTTTTAAAAAAAACAACTATAAAGTGGGGGCTCTTGTGGCCTAAAGGGTAAGGTGTTCGCCTCTTATTCAAAGGTCCCACTTTCCAATCCGGGAAGGGACCGAAAAAATTTTCTTCTCTAAAATGGTCTCCTTTCACCTCCTTTCCTGCTCTCTAGCAATGTTCTGTCGTCTGCTTTCGTCTCCACTTCATGCCCCCACCCCTCATCTCCTTTGCCTCCCCTCCCCAGGGCTCCGGACTCTTTCTGCAGCCTTTCTTTGCTACTCCTTGGCTCCTTCTTACTGCAGTCTTTCAGCCACAACCCTGATCTTCTGGTAGGAAAGATCTACACCTAGCCTTCTCGGATAAGGGCGAAAAATCTCGGAGGGCCCGTGAGCAAGTTGCGCACGTCAAAGATCCCTTGGTGGTCAAAAATCGATAAGAGTAGGCTTCGGTCGCCACCAGGGAAAAATTCAAAATTTCCTACCAACTGAAAAAGTTTAATGTGTCCCGCGCGCTCATAAAACACTTGCTAACAAAAAAAACCCATAAAGTTACAATTACGTTATTTTATTTTGAAAGAAAAAAGCTTGGTGAGGCATTTTACCGGCATTTACTAGGGCTTGACTTTCACAAATGGATGAATCAGTAATATGAACAGCCTTGTAACCTTGAAAATAGGTTGAATCGTCAAAACACCAACATAGACCGGGAGCAAGTTTATGATTTATGCGCATCACTTTGCGAGAGAGAGAGATTCAAAGATTCAAAATGATTTATTGATTTGAAAGGCCTTTGACCCATACATCCACATATTTTAACATATGGTTAGGCAATTACATACATTGGAGCAGCATATTGGATGTTTAACATAAATTGGACATACACGCCCACATACACGCATGCACGCACGCACGCACACACGCACATGACGTACGCACATACACACATACACACTCATACTCACACATACATACATACATACGTACGTACATACGTACGTACATACATACATACATACATGCATGCATGCATACATACATACATACATACATACATACGAGAGAGAGAG